TGCACGGCTTGGGGCAAGGAGGCCCTGGGTCAGATGCAGACTGGGCAGGCGCAGTGCTCAGCAGAGGGGAGTCAGCTGCAGCCCAAAGCAAGCTGAGTGAGGAGAATGCAGGGAGCAGCCCCCAGCAGAGCTCATTTGGACCCTTAACCCTTCCCTGCATCTAGTTTTTAGAGCAATTTAGTAGCATTACTTCAGATTTTTTTTTCTGCTTTTGCTTTCTAAATTATGGTTTATGTAACCAAGGTCTGTTATAGTAAGTTTGACCTCCTACTTGTGAGATGCCAGGTAAAAAATGTGTACCCACAGAATAGAGCCTTTGATTCAGGATTTACCTTCAGAACCCCGACTCCTTTAAAAAGCAAAAGCTTTTAAGAGGCTAATGATAATAACAAGAGCTAACATTTATGAAGTGCTTACCCAGTGCTAGACACTGTTCTAAGTGCTTTATAAAAACTCATTTTATTCTTACAACAAGCCTACAGATAAGTATCTTTATTATCCCCACTTTATAGATAAGGAAACCAAAGCACAAAAAAGCCATGTAACTTAACCTAGGTCCTGTGCTATTGCAAGCTGAGTTCAGAGCCCACACTCATAATGAACAAACAGTCTACTCACTTGTTGGGCTTTCCCTGTGTGGGTCATGTCGATAATCAGTTATAGGATACAAAATCAGCAAGAAAACAAATCCAATGGCTACGATAGTTGTTCAGGGACAAAGTGAGGAGGGCCTCAGCTGGGACAGGGAGTTGTTGAGGACAGATTTAAGAGCTGTTAAGTATATCAAAACCATCAGCTTGCCCTGGCTGGTGTGGCTCAGTGGATTCAGTGTCATCCTGCAAACTGAAAGGTCGCCGGTTCGATTCCTGGTCAAGGTACATGCCTGGATTGTGGGGCAGGTCGCTGGTTTGGGGCATGCAAGAGGCAACCAAGCAATGTATCTCACACATTGCTGTTTCTCTCCCTCTCTTTCTCCCTCCCTCCCTCTCCTCCCCTTCCCTGCTCTCTAAAAGTAAATAAATAAAATCTTTAAGAAAAACAACCAACCAACAACGTAATGAAAGGGAGAAGGGTAGATTTTTTGACTAGGGGATTGGTGGCCTGGAATTTAATAGCGAGGAATGAGCTGAGGACATATGTCAGGCATACACACATTCACGTGGGGACGCAGTGGCTGAAGAACAAATCGCTTCTGCTGGGGTAAGCTTCCTCCGAGAGGGGAGCTTTGAACCAGCCCCTGGAGAACAGGAATGTTCTGAGAAGTGGGGATGTGAGGCCAGGAGGAGAGGGAGTGGGATGGCTGTCGGTGTGGCGAGGAGCGTGCCAGGGAGAGAATCGGGCATGAGGGGCTGTGGATGGGAGTGGGTAGGTAATGGGGAAAAGCAGCAGAAAACTTTGGATTGATTTCCGATGACTTTTTCTTCCTACGTCTGATTACAGAATGAAGATCTCTCATGTAATACTGTAGACAAATGTTCAAAGTTGCTACTCCTTCCTTTACTTAATCTCCAAAGTAGTCTTAAAACCAATGTAACAGGGAGGTGTATGCGTTAAACTCTCTTTAATATCCTGCTGGTACAGTCCTGATACCTAGTTCCTGGATGCCTGAGCCGCCAGGAGTCCTCTCTCACATGTATGTTATCAGTAGGAACATTCAAAGGGAGTGAGGAAAGGTGGTGAGAGACCCAGGGCTGATTAAGAACAAAGCAGCAGCGGGACGGCCTTTGTTTGTACAGGGAAGGTGAGGGGTCCGGTGGGGCTGCCAGATGAGAAGGCCAGGGGGAGCATTCTGCTGCGGAAAGACACTTACACCCTGGCTGGACCGGCTCAGCGGATTGAGCGCCAGCCTGCAAACTGAAAGGTCGCGGGTTCGATTCCCTGTTGGGGCACATGCCTGGGTTCTGGGCCAGGTCCCCAGCTGAAGGTATGCGAGAGGCAACTGATGGATGTTTCTCTTGCACATGGATGTTTCTTATACCTCTCTTTCTCCCTCCCTTCCTGTGTTCCTGAAAATAAATAAACAAAACCTAAAAAGAAAAAGAAAGACGCTTAGTTGGTGCCTTCTTTTCACGTGGGCTTAAGGTCGGTGGGCTGGAGATGACCGCGGTCCGGGTGGGGCAATGAGCCATGATAGGGGCACCGTTTACTTCCGGCAGCCGCGCCGCCTTGCCTGGATTTTGCTTCGTGGGCATGGAGTGGAGGAGCATAGGAGTAAGTCTAAACATTAGAGCTAGAAGGAGGCTATGGTTTCTCCTGAGCATCACCAAGTTGCTGAAAGAGAGCCTAACAAGATTATTTAGTCTCCCATTGTTAGAGTGATATATGATTACCATAAAACAGCTGGAAAATATAGAAGAAAGAAATGTGAGCACCCATAACCTGACAATTATTATTATTAACACTTTTGACATATTTTTGCCCATCTTTTCTTATAATCTCTTTTGTTTTGCACAGTTCTAATCAAAGCAGATATACAATTATTTATCTAGCTTTTCTGATCTAATGTTGTAACATTAACATTTGTCCATTAAACTGTGGACTTTTAATTTCGGTTATCAGCCAAAACCCTTTTACCAGACAGCAGCCAGAGGAGAGGCAGCAGCTGGGGTGGGAGGCAGCAGGGCCGGTAGATTCAGACAGCCCCTAACTTGAGCCCTTCTAGGAACAAATGAGTACTGAGGGTGGGGTGAGGCCTGGACCCTCCCAGAGCCGAGGACGTGGGATGCTTGGGCTGCGTCGCCTCCTCATTCAGAGCAGGGAGAGCCTGAGTGAGATGCCATTTCCCCGTCAGGGGCTGATGGGCTCCCAAGTGACTCAGGCTCATTTAGTGACTCTCAGAGTCTATTTATGGCCTCTACACAGTAAGTAATCAATCATATGGTAGAAATTATAAGTAGCTCGTTGGCTCCGGGTTTAGGATTTTTTTAGCATATTAGTTAGTTAGTTATAGGTAGGTTTATGTGATCCAAGAATAAAAACAGAATCTGGGAAGGCGCTTTTTGCAGAGCCATTTACCGCCCAACCTGAGTATTAGCTGCTCAGTGTCTCTGAGACATGAACAAATAGCCTGTTTTGCAGAGAAAGGTGCTATCGACCAGGGAAGAGAGAGGTTTCTGTCCCTCCTCTGACTAAATTATTTGAGTGTGGCACAAAAAACTGAAACACCCAGTGTAACAACAAAACAGTTCAACCAATCGTTTATATTAAATAGGAGTATATTGCAGTAGTTCTCTCTCTTCTGGGCCCGTCCCCTCCTCTCCTTCTCAAGCTGACCTAAATCGTTTCAAGGCTGTCCTCAGCATGGCACATGGAGAAAGCGCCCACCGTGGCAACGGGCCCACTTGGGTTTGCATCCTGGCACACGCAGTTAGCAGTTGTATTTTCTCAGCAGTGATGTGGAAGCAGTAACACCTATCTCCTTGGGTTGCTGTAAGGATCACACGAGCTGGGGGTTGTTAAGACTGGAATGTGGAGGGCTGGTCCTCGGTAAACAGTGGTCACGATCGCTTCCCACTGGGCTGTTGGGATGGCCTCTGTGTCTGGTGGCCCTGGTGGCCTGATGTCTGGCTTGGCATGTGGGGCCTAAACTGGTGCCCTGGAGCCTGCACCCACAGATTCACGAGGAATAAAACAGCCAGCTTTTCCAAGGATGTGTGGTTCTAAGGCTTATCTTTAGTGAATAAGGATCTTAACTTCACACTTCCTGGGCCATTTGCCCAAACGCAGGCTAGAAACCATCCGTGCCTGTGGAGTTGCTGGCAAAACAGCTTTTCCATCCTTTTTCAGAATTTCCACCTGAATGCATTTGCTTTGCTGTCAGCAGATGAGTACCTACCCTAAGACTTTCAGCAAAGGTTCTGCGATCTCTTGAGAGGGAAGGTGCTGTGCAAATCACTCAAGTGTTCAAAAATAGAAATCATGCCAGAATTGCTTTTTGGGAGCGAGAAACTCCAGCAATTATCATGTGGACTTAAATCAGTTCCTAACATTGGCGATTTTCTCATTAACCCTAAGCACGGTCCCTTTGCCTGTGGCCTCCTCTCAGAACGCTGCTGACCCACCCAGACATGGTATGTGGTGGGGCAGCCCTGGCTGCATTCCCGGGCGAAATGCTCCTGCCTCTCCGAGTTGTCAGTTTCCTCCCCTCAGGTGTTTTTCATCTATACTAGTTTTTACCTTCTATTTCTGACTTGTGGCAGCTTGTCTTGCACCCTGGGTAACAGAAAGGCTGCATCGCCCCCTCTGGAGCTCTAGTCCAGGCCAGGCCAGGGAATGAGTCCACAGCACAGCACTGCCCGGGTCCCGTGAAGGTAGGCTTTGCCCTGGCCAGCCCTGCTCCGGCCAGAGCACACGTTCTCCGCCCTGCGTTTCCTGCTGTCTGTGCTTTAAGTGCGATGGCGGCTTTCAGCCCTGAGCTCCTAAAAATGTCCGGGCTCCTGTCAATTTCTTGACAAATGTCAGCGGTGAGGAAGGGAGCTCCTTTGTGCCCTTCCACATCTTACTTCTTAACCCATGAAATTAGTCATTTCCATGGTGAGCAGGGAGTATCTAAGAACCTAGTTTCAAAGTAGCTCTTGGTACCCTTACTAGAGAAATGCTTCTCATAGAGTGTCAAGTGTGATTTGTGCCTTGGAGGATCTTTGTTTTGGAGCAGTGCTTAGTGCAGGGCCAGAGACTTTCCCTGCTGGGCTCAGGAATGCGGATGGTGCCTGACCCTGCAATGGGCCGCTCCGCGAGCAGGCCGCCCCCACTGGGCTGAGGTCAGAGGAGTTCTGTCCAGCCAGCAGGACCGGACTCCATCGACCAGCTGGCCTTCTAGGATTCACATGTTGAATAACAATCCTTTAGAGTAACTTCCTGGGGGCCCCCCTCTTCTTGTCCTGGTGTCAGAGTCGGGACGGCGCTGAGGGGTGGCAACTGCACGTTGACATTTTCACATTGCGTGACAACTATGAGTATGTGCTGCAGTTGGCCACAGCGTGCTGTGTTTCTCTTTCCAGCGTCCCAGTGCAACGTCAGCTTAAAGAAGCAGAGAAGCCGCAGCATCCTCAGCTCCTTCTTCTGCTGCTTCCGCGACTATAATGTGGAGGCCCCGCCAGCCAGCAGCCCCAGTGCGCTTCCGCCACTGGTGGAGGAGAACGGCGGGCTGCAGAAGGTCAGTCCTGGTGGGGAACTGTGCACTCAGCAAAGCTGCAGCAGCTGCACATCTGTCACATTCTGGACAAATGTCCTTAATAAGAGCCTATGACGGTATGTGTGCAGCCATTTACTTAAAAGATTTGAAATTACCAGTAAAGTCATCTTTCTTGTTAAAGAATATCAGTCATTCCCATGTAGCAACCACAGATCATATTTGATGAGAATGGTAAGAGTCACATTTTTATAACGTTCTTGGCAAGTTGAATGTATGAATAGAGAGTTAAAGAACCATTAGCAGACAAAGAAATTGAAAGACAAAAGGCGAAACAGAGACATGGAAAAGAGCCAATAATAAATATAAGTGGATTTAACTACCTTGTTTAATAAGCAAACATTTGTTATATATTTTTATAGGTATCAAATAAAAATTTTAAGCCAATTTTCACAATAGATGAAAAAGAACAAATTCTACCCACATGCTATTTATAGATGTATTTGAAACAAAGTAACTCAGAACAGTTATAAGTAAAAGGATGAGCAAAAAGACATCCCACAAGTATAAGCAAAAAGAAAACAGGTTACAATATTAATTCAGTCAAAATAGAAGTTCAGGTAAAAATCACTGAAAGAGGCAAAGTAGATTATTCATTATGAAGATAGTCAAGGTTGAGGACACAAAAGTTATAAACCTTTATGTTTCAAACAACATGAGCAAAGGTCACGAACAGGCATTTCATAAAATAAGGAGTACAATTGGCCAATAAACATAAAAAATTGTTCCATACAGTCAGTAATCAAAGAAATGCAACTCAGTGTGATCCTTTTTCATTACTAAATTATCAAAGATAACATTTGAAGGTAATGAGAGGGAGGGTAGAGGATATAAATTGGTTATTGGTAGGAATGCTAATTGGTTACACCTTTCTGGAGAGAAATCTGGGATCTGATCTTAAAACCTTAAAAGATATGCCTATTTGTTCCCGTAAGCAGTTCCACCTTATTGACATAATTGTGGATGTGTAAAGATTTAACAATAAGCTATTATCCAGATTATATTATGATATTGCAAAATTGTAAGTAACCTAATGATGAACAGTAGACAATAAAAGACCTAGCCCTGGCTGGTGTGGCTTAGTGGACTGAGTGTCGGCCTGTGAACCAACGGGTCACTGGTTCAATTCCCAGTCAGGGCACATGCCTGGGTTGCAGGCCAGGTCCTCAGTAGGGGGTGCATGGGAGAGACAACCTCACATTGATGTTTCTCTCCCTTCTTTTACCTCCCTTCCCCTCTCTCTAAAAATAAATAAATAAGATCTTAAAAAAAAAAAAAAAAAAACAGAATGATGTATGCCAGAATATGAAGAAGTTATTTCCAACTGATGGGATCATATATATGATCTTCCTTATTCTCCTCTCCTCTGTGTTTTCTTTCTTTCTTTCTCCTTTTTCTTTTTTCTTTTTCCAATTTTCACAGAATAAGCTTAAATTACTTTTGTGATTAGAAAATACATTATTTTGACACTCCATGTGAGTGCGAGGAAGGAGAAGATTCTGGGAAGATGACAGCCTGAGCCCATGGCCCTGACCACTTAAATTCCCTGTTTGAATGAACCTGTGTGGGCCGGCAATAAAGCCCGGAAGTGCATTAAGGCCTCCAACGTCCCTGACACCTCCAGGGGAAAGAGCAGGCACAGGTTCATTCTCTCCAGCACTCAGTGAGAAGCAGGGGACCCCCAGCAGAGGAAACTGCTTGCCTCATTTGGGGTCCTAGAACAAAGGCATAACGCAAATAGTCCTGCGAGGTCAGCCAGCCAGCAGGAACCCGTGGGCCCACTTGATGTGTGCAGTCCTTCGAGGGGGTGTACTGGGAGCTGAATTGCTCTCTGTTCTTGTGCCCTAGACGAGCCCCAGAGCACAGGGTCTCTCTTCATCTCTCTGTGGTTTTTCAGTGTGGGCTCCACTGGACCGTGAAAACATCACTCCTCACTGGGCCTCGCTGGGCCTTGCAGTGCTCACTCATTCAGCCCAAGATGAAAAATTAAGCATATGAGACTCCTACTGAGGTAAAACTAATGGAAGAGATAGAAGAGATCTTTAACAGACAACTCAGGGAACGATATTTCAGGGACTGAACTTTACATACAAAAGTAACTTTTAGAACTTAAAAAATTTCCCATGATGTCTAAATATAAAAATTCACTGAACAAACTGAGAAAAAGGAGAATGAAAATGGTCACTGCGGAGAAGTCAATTAATGTTCTGGAAGAGCAACTGGAAGAAATGTCTGACAATTCAGACCAGAAGCACAGAGGTGGTTAATTGGGTGAGGGTTAGGGGACGTCTAGGAGACCTAACATGCAATTTATAGGAGTACCAGAAAGAGAAGAAGTAATAGAAGAAATTTTTATTGAGCTGAAAAAACTTTAATTTGCAGATTGAAAGGGTACCAAATCTACATCGGGATTAGTAGAAGCAGACGAGGGAACACAGGCCTAGATATATGTTGATTACATTCTGAAATTTAGGTATAAAGAGAAAATCTTACAAGCTACCGGCACAAGCTATTATTTAAAAAAAAAAAAAAAGAATTATACTAGACTTCTTGTCAGCAACACTGAAAGCCAGAAGACTATGAAAAATGTTTATAGGCTACTGAGAGAAAAGAATTACAAACAAAAAAATTCTACATGTGATCAAGGGAAAAAAATGTACATTTTCAGATATACAGTGACTCAGAGAAGGGGGCAAAGGAAATCTGGGTGAGATTGATATTCAGTTACAATATAATTATAGGAAGTATAGGAATAAATATAACTATTGGTAGTACAACTATATATAACAAGTAACACAATTAGAAAATAGATCCTCAAAGTTCACAGAGAGTGCAAGGGGAAATAAATAGAAATATGAACAAGCCATAAAAATTACCGAAAGGGAAAAAAGAACAAATTACATAATAAAGTTTGTTATAAACTTTAAACATAAAACCAAGTTTAATAAACCAAATTCTCCTAATGAAAGAGCAAGACTATGTGGCTTGGAAAATTCAACTGTGTATGTTTCCAAGAATATACCTATATCAGATAGGAATGATTTTGGCAGCAAGTAGAAGAAAACTGACAAATACCAGTAATAGCTTAAACAAATAGGGGGCTATTTTTGTCAGATAAAAAGCCTAAGATTGGTCATTGCTGGGGTTAGTTCAGGTGCCTGATGATGCCGTTGGGCACCCACACTCTTTCTGTTCCTTTGTCTTTTCATCTTTCTGCTCCACCATCCTTGGCATGTTTGCCTTTATCCTCATGCTTGTTGTCTATTTTCTCAAAGTCACAAGCTTCAGCCATCATAGCCACATTGAAGGGAAAAACAGAGGGAGGAGTTCTCTGGCCCTGTCCATGCCTTTTATGGAAAGTAATGGCTTTTACAGAAAACCCTGGGAGACTTCTGCTGACGTCTGATTGGCCAGAGCCTGGTCACATGGCTGCCCCGCAGCAGGAAGGGAGGCCCCAAAGGGGAAGAATTTAGACCAGCAAAGAGAATTAGAAAACAAAATTGGAGCTCTTTTCACAAAAGATAAAATAGGAATGACTACTCAGTAGATGTACTTAACTAATCAGTGTGGACTCAGTTACCCTGCACCAGTAACATCCCCCCAAACCCCAGAGGCTTGAATAATAAAAAATTTATTTTTCATTCATGCTGCATGTTTATCATTGGTGGGCTGGACCTTCTGCTCTCTGGCACAGTTCAATAGAAATATAATATGAGCCATATATAATTTAAATTTTTCTAGTAGCCCTGTTTTTATATATTTTTAGGATAAATTAATTTTGATAATATATGTTGTTTAACAATGTGTCCAAAGTATTATTTCAACATGTAATCAGTAGAAAAATTATAAGTGAGATAAAATTTATACTCTTTTTATCTTATAATTCTCCAAAATATGGTGTGTTTTACATTTATAGCACATCTTAATTTGGACTAGACACATTTTACATGCTCCGTAGCCTCATGTGACTAATAACCATCATTACTGGATTGTAAAACTCTTATCCTCATTTGTTAATGTACTTAGACTAAGGAAGGCCCCATGTCTCCTTCCACAATTGTCACAGCAGGAAAAAGGGAGCGCGGGAGTCACACTGGCTCTTGAAGTTTTCACCCAGAAGTAGCATGCCTCTTTCCTGTGGGTCAAGCACTGAGCTAAGACAGAATGACGTGGTGGCTAGGAATACGGGGCTCAACCTGTGTCCTGACCGTGCCAGTTACTACTCATGTGACCATAAGTCAATGAACTAACTATGTAACAACATAGAATCAGTGTTTGTTACACCATTATTTTTTTTAAAAAGACGTAACATGCCTCATTTCAACTTTCATTCTATTGGCCGAGGCAATTCAAGGGGCATAAAAATGTAATCCTATCTTGTGCCCAGAAAGAAAACTGGAATTTTCTTTCTGAAAATTATTTCAGAAAGAAGTTTATTTCGTGAACTCTCCTAATGGCTGTTAGAGTAGGTGGCTAATAGTTTTTGACTCCATACCTAACATACAGTGACTTTTTTAAGGTGGAAAATAAAAATATGGGCAAAATGTATAGAGCAGATCAAATAAAAAGCAGAAGTGGTAATGTTAATATTAGACAAAACAGAATTTAAGACCAAAAGCATTGAACAGAGAAAAAGGGACATTTTATAATGATAAAAGGTCTAATATGTGAAGTATGGAATAGTTATAAACCTTTATATACCAATCAACAGTACAGCCAAACAAGTAGAAGAAAAGTATTTAAACATGATAAAAAGCTGATTTCTAAAAATAAACAGTAAACAACATAGGAAAATCATTGGCAGTTTCTGGCTGATGTAATAAGATAAGAAAATAAAACAATTGTACAAATATGGAAAAGATGCAAAATTAGTTTTATTTGCAGATGATATGGCTATTTACATAGAAAACCCAAAATACTACCAACAATTAGAAGCACTAAAAATTTTCAGTATGGTACCTGTTACTTATGAAGAAATGTACTGTGTTTCTGGATAGGGAGACTTCGCATTGATGTAGAAGAAAAATGTCTAATGATAGCTGAGAAATTTGGCAGGGAAAAAATAATGAAAGATGAATTACCATAACAGATATTGAACCTTACTCTCCGCTGGTAGAGGAAAGCATGTCAGGGAGATTAGTATGAGGAAATTGCACTGTGAATGGTAGCATAGCCCCAGATCCCGCTCTGACCCCTCAGCATGCTTTACTCATAACCTCCTCCCCCCATTTAAAAATCACTGCTGTAGAAAATCGCCGTTAGTTAAGGGAGCATAGTTTGTGCCCTAGACCTGTAGAGGATAAAAAAAGAGAAGAATCGCAGCTGTCATAGTGAAGTTACTTTAAAAGAGTTTCTGCCGAGATGAAATGACCCGGGAGAACGGTGGCGCACCCATGGAAGGCTTCCTAGGGGGTTTAGATGTGTGTGTGGCAGTGAGTAGAGGCCTTCAAAGGCAGTTCTCTGGCAAGAGCTAAGCTCACCTGGATTTAGTGTTCATTGGTGGACTTCCTTCAGTTAACATTTGTCAAAATGGCTTTTTAAAGAATGAAGTTAACTCTGAGTAATGCATCATTTGCATAACAGTTGACTGTATTCAACCCATGAGACCAGACCCCATAGAAAGAGCCCGTGCCAAAGTGGACCAGCTAATTCCCAGAGGACCCTCTGCCCTTTGCTCTCAGCTCGGTCAGGACACCTGGCACACAAGCCCAGGCCCGTCAGATGTGGAAGCGGATTCTAGGCCTTGCTCATTGGCTGGCTCCGCAGCTCTCACTGCCCCTTGGAGCTCCACATGTCAGAGGATGGGGGAGGCTGTGGGAAAAATGTGACAGATGGCCTCTGGGGTGGTGGCCCTTGCCACATTCCCGTACACCCTGGACCCACAGGCCAAGGGCCCAAAGTAAGCGTCTGCAGCCCACGGCTGGACGATAGGACATGTCAGCACCTTGAAAGCCCCAACATCAGAGACCAAGGAGGATTTCTAAGGATGAGGACGGAGTGAACAGGGCTTCTGGACACTCACTAATACATGCATGCTCTTTGTGTGCATGCACAAACACATACACACATACATGTAAACCTCTAGGGTAATTTTCAAGCCCAAATATCTGTCTAGAGTAGCACCTTTGGTCATAGTCTGTGTTTCGTCAAGCCCTTCAGATGTCATTGTCTCTCCATTGATACACTCATCTCACTGAAGGTATACCTGTGTGTGGGACTGTGTGCAGTCTCCCAATAGTGCAGTGTTCCCAACTGGAGCCAATTTTGCTCCCTAGGCAACAGTGGGGATATTTTTGATTGGCACTACTGAAAGTTCCGGCATCTAGTGGGTAGGGGCCAGGGATGCCCATATCCAATACCCAAGACAGCCCCCCATGGCAGAGTCATCAGGCCCAGAATGTCAGTAGTGCTGGGCTTGAGAAACCCTGCCCCACGGTGGCCCCACGTGTGACGCCTTGTGAGCTTCCAGTTAAAATCTCCCCCACCAAGAGCAGTGACCCACTCCCAGGTCCCAGTGCTGGGAGCAATGTTATTTAAGAGCCTCAGAAATGAGCTTCTCTGTATATGTTTTTGAAAACTGGAATTGGAGTTGATGGCGCCAATGTGTTGAAGAGAGCGCAGTCCTGCCTTGAATAATGGCAGAAGGCAATGCAGGATCCTCAAGTCGAGCCCCAGGGGTCCCGGAAAAGGAAAAGAGCCATCAAGACTGTCTCAAGAGGAAACAGTAGTCGCTGTTACACTGCAGAGGTGATGGCCAGGGTCTGGAGACAGCCAGGAAGTAGCAAAATGGCTCTTAGAGTCAGGGCAGAGCTCAGAAAGGCACCAGCCACCTGCCACTATGGACCACCAGGTTTGGCCCCCTGCTCAGAGACCCCTGTCACCTGACCTCTCTTCATAAAAGACAGTTAAACTTTTCATGCATTGCTCCGTGTGGAAGACCGTGAGAGTATCTCCTTGTCAGGCACCATGATGCTGCTACCTTGCCTCCCATCCCCACTGTCTAAAAAAGAAAAAGAAGCACAGAAAGTGGAAATGCTCAATGGAGAGCAATTCATTCTGTTATGACATTTTTTAATGATGCTGAAATGAAGCATTTCCATCAGCCGTGTTTGGAATGGCGGGCATTCACCGCAGAGGAAACGGTTGCGGTTCTTCCTGGGGACCTGAATTGTCTTGACACGCCCTGTGAATACAGGTTCTGTTCCCCTGACGGGAAAGCTGCCCCATGTCTGTGGCCTTGGAGGGCCCTTCCTGCACCTTACCTTGTGCCCCTGCCCAGCCCTCCCTAGATGAGCACCAGGAGAGTCCAGGGCGTTCCCTGTAGTCCGATGAACTCGTCTTTCTTCCCCTGCCTGTGGTATAGACTGAAGGCTTAGTCTTCCTAGGCAGAAACCTTACTTAAAGAACAAACAAGCCAGTTATTAGAAGGAATCATGAATCAAAGTAGAGTATGGGTTTTCATTTTTAATTTTCAATGAAGGATTAACTTTCTGGGAGTAAGGGAGGCACAATTCACATAAACAAGATGGCTAATGAGGAACTCCGCCTGGTTTGTCAGGGGTGGGGGTGTCTGGGAGCAGAGTGGAGCGCAGGGCCCTAACGTGGGAAGTTCGGGTCCCTCCTGTCCATTAAACTCCACCGAGGCACAGAGGATGGGAAATCCGAAGCCCGTTCCCCATGCCGAAGTGCTTTGGAGTTTCTTTTGAGTATATGTTCTACTTCTCTTCAAACCTGACAATGACTTTTTTTTTTTTTCTTTTTCCTCAGGGTGACCAGAGGCAGGTCATTCCCATACCAAGTGTATGTATATTTATTCAATTTTATTTAAACATTCGTAACGTCTTGCAGCTTTGGGCCTACTAATATAAAAGATAGTTTTCAATGTTCTTGCTTATGTTGCGTTTTATAACATGGTATAAATAGCTCTGTTCTGTTAAAAAGAAAAATGAGCCCTGGCTGGTGTGGCTCAGTGGATTGAGCGCCAGTCTGCAAACCAGAGGGTAGCCAGTTCGATTCCCAGTGTAGGGCACGTGCCTGGGTTGCAGGCCAGGTCCCCAGTAGGGGGGCCATGAGATACAACCACATAGAGATGTTTCCCTCTCTTTCTCCCTCCCTTACCCCTCTCTAATAAACAAACAAACAAACAAACAAATAAAATGGAAGAAAAATGAGGCTACAGTTTAAACTGTGAGCAGGACGTTCTCTACAGAGAGAGCTTCCTTCTTCAGTATCTCCTAACCAAATTCTCACTTTTCCTTTCTCTGCACTCCAAGGCTGCATAAGCTAAGGCAGCGCGCTGCAATCCCCGCCTGACCCAGCACACTGGCTCCGACCCCATAGACTGAGAAAACCATACTTTTGCCCAGACATGGTTCTTTGCAGCAGGTACTGTCCCAGGGGAACGGGGCTCCTGAGCTCATGTCCCAGGCGAGCAGACCATTTCTGACTTGTTCACCAACATCAATAGCTTGGCAGTGGCTCTGAGATTGGAAGATCACCCCTGGACTTGCAGGACCCACCTCCACTCCCACGGGCCGGCGGCGCTGTAACTCAGCCCCAGCTGGGCTTCCCTGGGGCCACCCACTTCGCTCTTCAGCCCTGGGATTTGGGAGAACATCTGCACCAGCGTCTGACCCCAGCACAGGCCTGGACCCACAGCCCCTCAGACATCCGCTGTCTCCGCTGCCCCTTTGCATCTCCCTGCTGAGCTGGCAGAGTTTGGCCTGAGGCCATTCCAGTGACTGACTCTCAAAAGAAACGTGCTTATGAGATGCCCCTAACAGACAAGACCTTTCTAGCAGTCCTGTGACCTTAGAGAAGGATTTAGGTTTTTAAAAGACGACCATGAGTTGATAGTTTAATCCAAAAGATTGTCTTATCCAAACTGATTCAAATCTGCTCTCTTCTTTTTCCTTGGACTTTTTCACCTATATTCTGGGGACATTCAAGAGGCATAGCAATCCTACGTTTGAAAAGAATGGGTTACACCAGTATAGGTTGACTCCAAATTCGGTAATGCATGTCACTTTTAAATTGCCCGCAATGTTTCTGATCATTTCATTTTCCTCAGAACTTTAACTCTCCATTTATGAACAAGTTGCAAGAGTTTGTGGAGTGATTCCGACTTTGCCAGCACAACTGGGGTGGGGGGAATGGTGCTTTTTGGGGAGAACTGGCTGATGAAAAAGATTGACAGGCAGCACAATCTCTTACCCAGTGTTTGAGCAGGACTCAGACCTGTTCATCTACCTTTCCTTGGACTTTATGCATGTGTTAGCAGTCCCCAGTGGGACTGATAACCAGAGGTCTCTTTTCAGCCCTCATACAAAGTAGTTTCGTATACTGATTCTTTCTGCAAAGGTGCCTCCACTAAACAGGTGACAGTTGGCATCTCTCCCCCTGCCCCTGGTACTCCAATAGCACTGTTTTTTCTCAAAGTGTTAATTCCCTGCTATCTATAAAGTTAGGTGCTGAATCAAGCATTTGTCAGGGTAAGACCTCTACTGAGAAACATGACCTTTTCCCCGCAAACCTACAGTCATTCTAGAATCCTGGAATAAAACAGTCAAGGGGGAAAAGATTCCTTGTGTAATTTAGCCTAGAGCTAGATCAATGTACTGCTGACTGCTTCTTGCATATGAGACACTGGGTCAGGCCTTAAGAATCTGTGAAATGTCTTGCAGAAAAACAAAGCCTAGCTGAAGTAACTTGCGTCTTTGAATGATAGCCTCCAGAAGAGCGGTTCTATTAATGGGCATGGCGGGATCTCCCCGCTGCCTGCTTTGTATGCAGAAGTGAACCGAAGTCCCAGCTCAGCCCTGGGATTCAAGCCTGGGGACCCCCTGCAAAATGTACCCACTCGTCAAGGCCACAGGTCACATACATATATTAGCCCTGCGCTTGCTGGACCACGGATGGGGCGGGTCCCTGATAGGTTGGGGTGCTACACCATAGGACCAGAAATCCAGGCTTGTACTGAGCCTACACACCAGGACCCTCAGCCCCCCGAAAGTGTTTTCCAGGCCCTGACCGTGAAACACACCTGTGAGCCTATGGGTACCCAGAGCGGTTCCAACAGGCATCTCCATCTCTGCTTCTCGCCTCACCCCTCTTTCTTCATTCTCATGCTGTTCTATTTATATGTGCAGGTTTGGTCTTCTGATTTTTCACTAAGCAATCATTCAAACCCATGGTTTAAAAAAATACTGAAAGATTCAAGTAGAAAGAAAAGAAATCCCCCAACTTGGTCCCAACTCCCTAGAATAAGCACTTTTGATGTTTGTTATATATCCTTCCCAAAATGGTCTAAGTAGACAGAAGCATATTTATGTAAATGAGAGTTCTGTAAAAAAAATGTTTTTGCTTTTAACAAACACCTTGAAAATCTTCCTAAGTGTTAGTACATAGCACCTACTTCACTGTTTTACATGTAGTTGGTGGCATTTACTCTGTTTCCACTTTGTGCTATTGCTAATATGTCTCTTGTGAATATTCTTGTATATGTGTGTTTATGGACTTGAGTGATAATGTCTGCAGGATCAGTCCCTAATTGTGGAAATTCTAGATCAAAGGATATACTTTACATTTTGGGTAGATTAAAACCACATTGTCCTCCAAAAGCCTAATTTACGTTCCCACCAAGAGCGTGTGGACTTGCCTATTCAAATATTTTAATCTTGGTTAATCTGAAAGTAAAGAATGGTATTGATTTATCACTTTTGATTTGTCTTTCTTTATGAATGAGTATAATCATCTTTTCCCAAGTTTATTGTCCATATGGCTTTCTTCTTCCAAGATTTTATATTGTGTAGCTTTTTAAATTTCAAGGAAATTAGCACTTTCCTCCAAATTTATGATATATCTTTTGGCCTTCTATATAAACATTTTGGCCACAGTGAAGTTTAATTTTATAGAGGCAAATGTATTGATCTTATCCTTTATGGCTTTAGAGTTTTACATCACGCTTAGAAAGGTCTGCCCATTCTATGACTGACCCATGTTTTCTTCTGGCAATTTAATGGTTTCATCATTACATTACATTACATTAAATCTTTGATCCATCTGGAATTTATGTTAATGTAAGGCATGAAGTAGTCATCCAGCTTTATTTCCTTTTCCAGGTGGCAAGTCAGTTGTCTCAACACCATTTATTGAGTAGTCCATCCTTTGAACACTTGTTAGAAATGACAGCTTTCTCTGGACTTGGTGTTAAACGTCCCACTTAGTAACATCTGTGTCCCGGCTGTGAGCTGGGCTTTGGGGCTCTTTACACATCTTACTGAGAGCCTCATGGGCTGCCCAGTAAAAGTTGAGTATTGAAGGGTGAGGAGACAATGCAGAGAGACAGGCTGAGGGGCCGCTGAAGTTCAGGTGGTTGTGACTGCCGGTGAGTTCTGGGGCTGTGACCCGACCCCTCCCGTTCCCACACTCTCGCTTGACTCACGCGCCACACTGATGTTCACAACGCAAGGTTCACAGTGCAGCTGAGCCCTAAAAATGCCAGCAGGGGAGAGGAGACATTTGTTTTCTAACAGTTAGGTTTCTGTGCTGTCTGCCCAAGCCTTTTAATAAGCAGTAGTATACTTCTTTCCACCCAACCGTATGAAGAACACGTAAGCAGAACAACTCTTCTACTTAAAGATGGTGTGGGCAGGGGTGTCCAGCCCGTGGCCCACGGGCTGCGTGCAGTCCAGGATGTGAATGTGGCCCAACACGAAATCATGAATTCACTTAAAACATTATGAGATTTTTCTGGTGGTTACATGTCACAGTGTATTTAAGGTGTGGCCCAAGACAACTCTTCTTCCGGTGTAGCGCTGAGACGCCAAAAGGTTGGACGTCTCCTTTGCCCCCTCCTGAGATCAGTATCCCCTGAGATCTCTGCCCTGAACTCTGAGACTTGGGGAGTACATTGTGCAGACACAGGGCCTGAGAGCTCTAAGTTAAAAAAAAAAAAAAAAAAAACACTAATGTACCTAGAAGAGGCTCTACATCTGTATCTGTGAGGGTGCGGGGTTGGTACTCGAAAGAAAGGAACTATAGAGTTTCCTATTCATGGCTGCCCATTCACCACCAAGGACAGGAAATTTCCTGTCTCCTCCCAGGAAGAGCACTCCCAAACCTGGGATGGCAAGTTATGGTTCCTTCTTCCTCCCCCTCTGACCACATGCTTTCTGCCCCCCTCAACCTCACCACCTCCACTCCATACCCCTACCTCCAACCTGCCCCCCAACAATGCCCTCCATATGCTTTGGAGCAAGTGATTTTGTATATAAAAGGCTCGTCTTGATGTAACTGGTGATTCTCTTGTTCTTCCGCTTTGTGATGGCCTGAGAGAAAATTTGCTTCAGGACATTTTTTAGTTAATGATTCAGGCATCACCTGAACAGATCAATTGAAGTAGCAAAGCACTATTGCATTTATATAGTGTCCTTGCATGTTCCAAGGACACAGCTGTCCAGAAGAATTCTTACCAATGGTCTGGAGAATTTGCATTCCATCTAAAGCCAAGCTCTCAGAGAAGCTGTGTGCATTTAGGAACCGGGCAAAGGATTAATGGAACCCTCCCAGCCCATCCCTCCCCGCGCCCCCCCCCCCCCGCCCCCGCCTTATTCCCTGCAGCACAAAAGCTAAATCAATAGCTTGCTTAACACCCTTCTTGCTCTTTTCTCTCAGGGTAGTACAGTGAGGCATTTTGCTTACTGTTAACTCAGAGGACACTCGTAAAGTGTGGGTTAAATATGCTAAGCAAGTGATTTTTATTCTTGGGTTTGGAAAATAACTGAGCCACTTTGGGCAGATCTTTGGTGTTTTCAGATATGTAGAGGATAGAATTTCTAGATCCTTATTTTCCACACTAGCAATTACATAAAGTTGAAGTTTTGTTTTAGCTTATAAATGCAGAGAGAAAAGACTGGACAGCTACACACCAAACTAAACAGGGAGACATCTGGGAAAAGGAATGGGGGATATGGAAAAGCAAATAGTTGTGTCCTCGTGTCTATATTCTTTACAGTGAGAATGTGTTTTTATTACATAATTGTATAATAAAACGTTAAAACAAATTTTATTCTAGTCACAAGCATGCGTTCTATTACGGCCCAAACAACAGAAATAACCCACATCCTTATGTTCACTTAGAGTTTATCATACCCTTCCTCTTTAAAGCACATTTTCAGAGACAGCTTTTTGCAAGTTTAATTTTTTTAATACCCTGCCTGCTTGCTGATTTATAATGGACACAGTCCTTCCTCGGACCCAGGATCCGATGGCCCGTGTCTAAGGCACATCTCTCCCCAGTACCGCAAGGTTTCGAATACTGCTTGGTGAGCTCGCGTTAAAGCCACGGGCGCCGACAGGCCACAGAGGCCTTTTCTCCTAGATGATGCTGGAGGGGAGGGAGCACCCACACTCGCTGGACAGGGCCCCTCTGGAAAGGGAATGCCAGTGTCCCCACCCATAGCCTCATCCCGGTCAGCACTGTGCAGGACCTCCCTCCCTTCCAGAACGATCGTTGCACTTGCAAATTTACCTAACCTGGTGACCGCCTGCAATACCATCTCTGTTGAACCAGCTAAAGTCCGAAATTCTCTAGGTCCTTGACTAAGGTTCATTTCAGACCAAAAAAAGAGTCATTTAAAAGGGAACACTGCTTGATTTCATTTCTTCCTTTTTTTATTGGATAAACTAAGTTGTTCATTCTTCAGTGGCTAGGGACGGATATTTTCTCGTGTTTTGTTTTGCCTTAAATATTGAACAGAGCTTGACCTTCTTCCAGGGCAGAAATGAGCTTGTTAACATTGGATACTGAGTATGAACTAAAATACTTCAAATCATTTCTAAAATGAAGCAAGGCCTAAAGAAATACAATACTCTAAATGAAAAATGAGATGGTCTGAAGATGTCTAGCATTTTATTAACTCTTTATGGCCTTTTTATCACAAGGTTAGAGTCAGCTACTACAAAGACATATAAATAGATGTTTGATTAATACACAGCATATGGATTAAAGTATAACTTCAATAGACAGAATTCAAGAGGTAAAAATGCCACATTCACTCACTATTATACCACAATGGGGCACGTAGAAGGCAGGGCACTGACCCTGGACCAGTTTTATTTCTGTTTCCCATTATTGGAGGTCACTTTGGATTGCATTTTGCTGTTGGGTCTATAGTTTCTCTTCAAGTTTTTTAAAAATTTCAATCACTAAAAAAAACCCTGTGGTTCTAATACAGCTCTGATATATACTTATGTACCACAGTGAATTTCAGACAAAATGTGACCCCAGGTATGGGCCTGCATAGTTAGAGCAGCTCTTACAATTAAACATTCAAACCATTTATGTGCCAGACAGAATGCAATTACAGCTGATAACAACAACCTTTCATGATAAGTATTATTATCCCAACTTACAGCCACAAAAGAGACAGAGCTGATGTTCACACCCAGGTTTGCCTGTTTCCAAAGCCTGGGCTCTCATAGGAGCCGCTCAGACAACAGCACCGTATCTGGGAAACCTTCCATTGTAAACTACTTAATTCCTATTAATTTTAATAAAATGCCGTGATGTGCTTGACCAGGCATTTAAATGTTTGGTTTCATTTTTAACCTCACTGACACAGTATAGTACGATAATAAGGGGATTTGTTTGTTTTCTACATCAAGGTAATAATAATAATTTTTTTTCCTTTAGCCACCAGCTAAATACCTCCTTCCAGAGGTGACGGTGCTTGACTATGGAAAGAAATGTGTGGTCATTGATTTAGACGAAACATTGGTGCACAGCTCATTTAAGGTAGGTCAACATAAAAAAACCATCTAGAATCGCTGTGCTTTGGACACAATGGGAGGAAAGCTTATGGTTGTTAGTGTATGACTTAGTCGTCCACGAAGAAATCCCAGCAACAGTTGTATATTAACTCAGGTGAACATTAACTCAAGTAGTTGAATATTAACATAATTAGTTTGGGGGAAAGAATGCTGGCCTGCCAATATTCCTGGGACCTCATTCTTATTTATGAGATTCGAGTTTCCAGCACTTTAACCCCTGCAGAAATACTTTTCAGGTGGCACAAGGCAGTGTGCCCCAGTGCCCCAGGACACTGCTGTGTATTTGTCACGGTAACCAGGGTGCCATATGTTTTATTGGGAGGGGCAGGAGAAGCACTGTCAAAGCAACCTGCTATCCTGGAAGCTTTCCCAGACCAATTTTTTAAAAGATGTTCAGCACTGAAGAAGACTCCCAAAGTTACGGCAGCTGAACCGCTCCAGCCGTTTATTTTGATTACTTTCATAATAAGAGGTTGCTGGGGATTTTATAAGCTTCACAGCTAAACGAGTATCTACCTGTGTGACTTCCCTCCTGAAGTGGCCTGGGCGTCTATGATGTCAAGGTGAGCATCGGATAGTCTCAATTCTATCGCCTTCCTCTCTCTCCATCTCCCTGACAGAATAGCAGCAAAAATTAATTACAAATCACCAGGGGACCTCCCTGCAGAACAGCTGTAATGACACTCTTAAGAAATGAGTTAATTAACCATTTTCCATTTTTTGAAATGGAATAAATTATTTCAGGGAGGCAAATGACAAAAAGCCATGGAAACGGGGGATCGGTGCACTGGGAGAAAACGCGGGTGTTTAGGTCCCTGGCCCTCCTTGGCGGGGGTATTTCTGGTGAGGGAACTGCTCTACCATCGCTGGCCAGTTAGACCGAATCTCTCTTCCTATCCACATGCCAGGACTCCACTTCACCGAGAGACACAAAAGGCACCGTCGGCTAAGGGGTATGGGTCTCACGTGAACCGCACTCATTCCCTGGTGGTGGTGTGGGAACTGGAAGAGCCATCAAATCTGCCTGCAGACCTTAACACCAGTTTTTGGTTTTTTTTTCCTTGTGCCTGCTGTCATTAAACAGAGGCCTACGTTGGCAGGACAAGACCAGGTGCCTGTCTTTGAGTCCTTAGGAGAGTGCAGGAGGGACCACATTTCCCTTCAGCAGTGAGAAGCAGTCTCTCTGGCCACTGGGGCGTGTGCGGCCACCTCATGCCCCAGTACCTTGAGGGCCCTTCCCGGGCCGGTCCCGGGGCTGCAGTGGCCTCACGGCCCAGCTCAGCTCTGAAAGGTGCTGGAAGCCTTCCCCCCGCCGCATACAAACACCCTATGAGCAAGTTGCACAGGACTTTTCCAGATTCCTCTGGTGGGAAGCCCTGTAGAGCAGGGGGCCATTTGTCACGGCAGCATAGACAGCTCGCTCCAAGCAGCTCTGGGAGTGTGGGCAACGCTGGCCAGGCCACCCAAGGTCACTGAGGTCTCCTGGCTCCAAAGGCGGGACCTTGGCAGCCCTTGGTGTCTCCAGGGCCTGCTCACAGGGCATTCGTAGGACAAGCTGATGTGAACAGCATCTTCTCATCTCCTCACCCTGGCCTGCCCACATTTGCAAGCAGAGTATGCTTTATTGCATAGTTCCTAGGGTTCTGGGCGTTTCAGAGCCCTTTGAGAATCCAAAAGCTGTGAGCCTCTCTCTTTGAACATGTGCTACCTACTGTATAACACACAGGCTCACAGACCCAAGTTAAAACCCTGGCTTTGGCAAGCAAGGCCTCCTTGACACCAACACGTGATAGGGGATCGAGGACGGGTGCTTGCCCTGAGCTGGGGAATGAACCTTATAAGAGTTTCTTCCTCCAGTTTCCCTTTGTTTTTTAACAGGATTCTGTATTTTAGTTGTGAAGTTATTTTAATTGTGAACTCACCGTTGGCCTTCCAGCCACAGAAGTGAATAAACTGTTATCTTAAGTCCTGGGTGCTCTAGTGCATGCTTAGTAATGATTCTGTGATCTTGTATGTTCCACGCTTCTTCAGTTTACTTACCAAAGAAGAATGTGTGTTTGTACAGTGGTGGGCTTGAAGGCAGACCACAGCTCAGAGCCTGACCAGGGATTCTGTACCACACACGTTCTCCATCCCTGTGTCTCTCCCCTACTTGTCCCAAGGGTTTGCAGCCTTATGATTCTCTCAGGCCTGTTCATCTGAGTAGTTTTCTAATTTGTGGAAATCCATTTAGAATTACATGCGAGTCCATCCCTGAGAACACAGTGACTGTTGAAGAATCATATTTGAATGTTAAATGTCATTAATACTGTCTGCCTTATTGTAAACAGCCAGCAGTTTGTGAGTGTGCTAGGTGTTGTGTTGCTTAAACCAGAGCAGGCCAGGGTGGCTGGAAATCCCTGAGGCCTGGACTGGATGGAGCCATGGACGTTCGTGAGACCCATCCCAGGAGCTGTGGAAAGGAGAGACCGAGGTCCAGAGGGGGACGGGGCCTGCCCGAGGTCGTGGTGTGTGGCCTCTGACTTCACCCCCCCGAGTCTTTGGTCCTGCTTCCTGTCCATGGGCTGAGCGTCTCCTGCCCACCACAGGGCAGCTGGCACTTGTGGGTCCAGTATGCATTACTGCCCCTCAAGTAGCCCTGTCCTCCAGGACCACGGGCTCTCATCGCCTCCCCCTGCTGGCCAAGAGCGGTTCCCTCTTACTCTAGCAGGGCTTTAGACAAGAGCTGGAGTTTCTCAGGAGCCCCATTCCCTAGCCAGGCTACCCGACCTTTTGTGGTTGATGCATTGAGGCAAAGGCAGGTGATAAAGAGGTTGGACCAAGCTGCTGAAAATGTAATGATATCCAGAACAACAACAACAAAAAAATGTGCTTTCCTGCTTGTCCTTATTTTTAAGAACCCAGGCATGCTTCAGCATCCTTCTGAACTGTTTTTTCCAATAATAAAAACAATGGGCCCTGGCTGGTGTGGCTCAGTGGATTGAGCGCTGACCTGCGAACCAAAGGGTTGCTGGTTCGATTCCCAGTCAGGGCACATGCCTAGGTGACAGGCCAGGTCCCCAGTAGGGGGTATGTGAGAGGCAACCACACACTGATGTTTCTCTCCCTCCCTTCCCCTCTCTCTAAAAATAAATAAATAAAATCTTTTAAAAAATTGGTACAAGTGAGTTTTTATCTTGCTAAAATTTCCAATGTTATTTCATCCTTTCAGATGTATTAATTATAGTTTCTTTTCTCTCCAGCCTATTAGTAATGCTGATTTTATTGTTCCGGTTGAAATCGATGGAACTATACATCAGGTAAGAAATCAAAGCTAAAACTGAGTTTCAATTAGCATTTTTTAGTAATTACATTTCTTCTGAACTTTATTTATAAATTCCCATTTCAGTAATAATCTCATTACTGAATCAAAAGGAAGAGCAAACTTTAACATAAATACAATGGTTTTCTGCTTTTTTTTCACTCGTGAATTTGTTTTATACAGAGTTTATAAGGAAAATTATAATCTGTAAATACTATATGTGGTTGCAGTTTCAAATAGTTCTTTGATTTGATGCAGACTTTTAGAAGTTTCCATATCCCTTACTGGTCTAGCTTGATGGTCTAATTAACTTCCTCATCTAATTGCTTTTGGCTACTCTCCTAGCAGGCAACAAGAAAATGCCATAAGTCACCCACTTACGGTGACTTCTCGGGAAAAGGTGTCCATTTCCAATGCCAGCCTCTCCAGCCTGACCTTGTCTCTCCTGCATCATGTTCTCCAGTGAATTTCAGCAAAAGCCCAACCCAAAGAGAAAGGGAGAGGGTCAGCTGGCATGTATCTTGTTCTGATTTTTTTTTTTTTTTTCCTATCTGCATGAAGCACCTCTGGGAATAGCTTCATTTAGGAACATATTTGGAAACATTGTAGAAAAAGTAGCTGTGGAGACTGGAGAATGAGGGAGGCTTTGTCAGGTTTCCCACAGCGGTGACCTGCCCGTCTTCCTGTCCACCCCACGGTCTTAAAGTGAGAGTCTCTGAACTGATACGTTCATATCCCAGGAAGGGAAGCCGCTCTCGGTGCTTGAGCTCTAACAGGATGTCTTTCCTTAACGATGTCAGCAGTCTCTGGTCCTTGAGAGGAGGGTGTCAGAACTGACAAGGCCTTGGAAATCAGCGGGCCCAGCCACCTCGTGGTCCAGATGGGGACACTGAGGTTCAGCCAAAGTGTTGTTGGAAGGTCAGACAACATGAAGAATTAAAACGAGGCTGCCAGTGTCCTGCCCCCTGCCCAGGGCTCTTTTCCTGATGTCAGTCCCTTCCCTCCCCTGCCAGGAAGCCGTCCCTGGAAGAGGCATCTTCGTCCCCAGCATTTCCACACTTCAAGCCTTTAAAAGCCATCAGGGAGCCAAAACGGCAGGCACTTGGGCATTTAACATTTGCAAAAACATCAACTGAATTAACTTAGCATCTGAGAGGCAGTTAAGGCTTCTGCATTTATTATCTTGGCTCGTGTTACAAAGTAATGAGACAAAGGAGAGGCTGCCCACTGGCATGGCAAGAATTAGGAGTGAAATTAATACCTCGTGACTGTGAGCATGACCCTTGGGGCCTGACCTGCTGTGGCCAGACCGTTCTCGAAGGAACCAACCCAGCTCCCCCAGCCTCCCTCCAGACTGTTCTATGATGCACTTGGCGAGAGATACCCTGGGGCACCAGGGCTGGGATCAAAAACTCTCTCTCCTGAGGGAATGAAGCCACAGGCGCCAAGTGGAGGACCAAAGCCCTGGCGAAGGCCGTGGCCTCGTTCAAGTAATCCAGGATAGGCTGTGCAGGTCCCAAGGGCCTATTCTTGGTTACTTGCACGGGGACGCGGGCCTGGACGCCGGCATCCGGGCCCAGGACCCTCCTCTCTGCCAGAGGCACCAACACCAGAGTTCCCAAATCAGTCTCCCGCCCTTCACATGTAGCAAAGCTTGCTTTCCAAGCAGTATCCCCAGGGAGACTGACGACCACAGGCCACACCACTCCCCGCACCAAGAGTCTCGTGTACAAAGTGAGCGCCTGGGGCTCCTGCAGCCACAGGCCCTGCCCTCAGCCCCCGCCCGCCCTCCAGCTCCACAGAGCCCTGTTGGCACCTGCCCCAGGCCGTTCTGCTGCTCTGGCCCCTCACTGCCCCCGTGGCCACAGACCCGTGCTCAACTTCCTCTGTCAGTGGGCCACGACGGCCTGGCTCTCTTAATTCCCCTCCAGCAGCACACCCTCTGTGTGCCTCAGAGCGCCCCGCGTCTCCCTCTGGTGCTCCTCCTGCAGGGTGCGCGGCCTGCCCCGCCTGCCTCTCTGGCCCGCGCACTCACTCCCCGCTGTCCTTCACACTCCACCTTCCGCTGCTGCAGTGCCCCCCTCTCCCCTCGTGCTCATTGCCGCTGAAGGGCCGTTCTCTAACACCCCAACTATTTTCAGTCCAGGTCTCATGCTTATACCGTTTCCTGCCCGGAAGCTCACGTACCCTTATTGGCCTGGTGGACTCCTGTTCATGCAAGATCCAGGCCAAACGTCACCTTCTGTGATGAACTTAGAGGGGAATTAATGGCCCTTAGTTGATCCCTCTACTATCACTTTCAGTATGCGTGTTTATTTGGATATTTTGTGTGTGTCTGTCTGCTGTAGACTGTGAGCCCTTTAAGGGCAAGGCCTACGTTTTATTCATCTCTGTAACTGCTTCAGGCTGAGCAGAGAGCTGGAGCTCAGTGAATATGAACTGAATTGCATTTTAACACGTTTGATTTATTTTAGGGAAGTGGCTAATTTCGAATGGAATTTATTCAAGTTTTAATTAGTTCTTCCCTCCTCCTGCATCCTCTGTCTTCGTTCATCAGCCTTGCCTTCTCGCCCATCTCCCTTTTCCCTCAGATTCCTTCAGGCTCCCCAGTCAGGAGCACAGGGCCCAGCCCCCCTAGAAAAGGCTCCTCTTCACCTCGCTCTGCCTGGCGGCCCCGCCTGATGGCTCATTCCAGGGCCTGGGATTATACTGCCTTCACATCCCCCGAAGCATCTGTTTCTGCACCCAGCCCAGGCACGGTGACCTTTGTAAAGGTGTCCAGGGGCACCTCCCTTGTGGGCTTCCTCCACAGGCCTTCCTAGGAGGGAGGCGTTCCAGTGCGAGTACCCGCAAAGCAACTGCACAGCTTGCTGGGCCAGGCCTGGACCTTCACAAGGACACCCCGAGGCCTTGGCCCGTGTTCACATGGAGCCTGACCCAGAGCATGTGACGAAAAACACACGAAATGAGAGAGTTCCCACAAACAGGGCACAACCCTTCCACTCGCTGGTTCTGAAAATCCCCAGACCCCTCGGGACTGACTGGTCAGCTCTCCTTCCTTGTCTGCACCACGCTCAGGCCTGGGGCCCCATCTGAGGAGTGTGTCTGATGTGAAGTGCCCGCACACAGACCCCAGGGGCCGGAGGCAGGAACCATCTTAGGAAACCTTCCTACACGGGTGCGTGGGCCCCTGGCCACCCCCAGTGACCGCGGCTCCTGACCAGCTTGCTGTCTCCTGCCGTTGCAGGTGTATGTGCTGAAGCGGCCACACGTGGACGAGTTCCTGCAGAGGATGGGGCAGCTCTTCGAGTGTGTGCTCTTCACTGCCAGCCTGGCCAAGGTGAGTCCTGCTCCCCAGCCGGGGCTCCCAGCCCCTCCGCCCCTGCCCCGTGTCTATCAGATGGCCCTTTGTTAAGGTGGGGAAGCTGTTTCTATGGTGACACATTCCCACCCCAGATGGGATGGATGCAGGCCATGAGCACAGTGCCAGCCTGAAAGGCTTCTGGGTTACCATGGTGACAGGGAGCCCTCGGAACAAATGCTCCATGAAGTTGCTGCATGCAGCCCCCTGAAGCTGGTTGTCCTCAGAGCAGGAAATCACAAATATGTCCCACCATGCCAGGACAAGTGTCGGCACCTCATCTGTTCGCTGGCAGCCAAAGGCTAGCGGCTCAGACCTCTGTGTCCTTGGGTTAGCGTAGACACGTTTAGCGGGGGCCTGCATGCTTGGACCTACCCAATGAGAGTTCTGCCTGCGCCGATGAGTCCTGTAGTCTCAAGCAAGTTGCTTCACTTCTCGCACCTCGGTTTCTTCTATTAATTGGGGATAACTTCATCTACCTTGTGGGGCGGATCAAAATAAGGCACGTGAAGGGCTTAGCACAGTGCCTGACTCATCCAGCAAGCATTCCTGGAAGCCTGCTGCGTTCCATATGCTGTCCTGGGCACTGCCACGGGGTACGTGCTCCTGGCGTTTGTTGTTTATTATCATAACTATTAACGATGATAAAATAATTCGCACCCGTTTTGGCCCTGTAGCTTCTATGAATCTGACCAGATAGAGTGTTTTCTTTGGCCTCTGCCACTGTCTGAGGGAATTAGCAGGTTCACAGGACCCCAACGTGGTTTAGTCTACCGATAACAGGTACGCACAGGACAGGCCAGCAGGCCCCGCCTGTCAGACAAGAGCTTTGCCAGGACCCTCTCTCAAACCTTGACTCTAGTGGGGCCAACACCATCCATTTCTTGGTGGCCCCATCAGTGTCCCCAAGTGAGCCATCTGCCTGTCTCGCACCTGCTCCCTCCCTCGGCCCTGCATCTGGACAGCTCCCTTCTCTGCACATTGAGGTCTCTGGCTCTGAGTTCCCAGACATGCTGCTTGGCCAGCCGGGGCATTCCTGGCTTGGGCCACCTCCCTGCCCCGGCCAAGGTGAGAAAGAACCTCACCTGCAGCCCAACCTGCCAGGCTCGTTGCCAGGCCTTCAAGCATGAGCCGGTAGAGGTGGAAGCCAAAATCTGGGCCTTCCTCTGGCAGCTAAATAGAGAATGTGGCCTCGAGGAAGACATCATCGTCCCCAGGGCTCGCTCTTTCAGACCAATGGTACCAAGCCCAGTTGTACTCTCGTGCCTCTGGCTCCTCTGCCGGTGCTCTGGGGCGCTGAGGGGCCTGAAGTGGTAACCAAAGAAATGGTAAGCAGCAAGACCGCACCAAACTCGCCGTGCTGAGAGCTGTTTGTTGTTTTTTTTTTATCTTTGGCGAAATTGGAAACACTCCTCCTTGGCATTGTCCCCACCACCCGCTTCAACATCCTTGTTCAGTCTCTTTTCCTGGGCTGCTCCCACCTGCCCCTCCATCTGTCTCTCCAGCCCTCCTCATGCTGCCCATCCAGCCTGGCTCAGCCTTCTGGCCCCTTCCTCCCTGCCGCACAGGCTGCGCTGACAGGTGGGCGCTCCCCAGCGCTGGGCCCTGGGCGCAGCTCCCAGCCAGCGCTGTTGGGGCCGCGGCCTCGCGGCCCCCGCCCAAGGGCCAACAGGGACCCTGCGCTGACCGTCAGAGCCTTTCCGTACCTGCGTCCTCCCCTTCGTTTCCTTCATTCCCTTCGTTCCCTCATTCACCCGACAGATATTTGCTGAGCACCTACTGTGTGTCTGGCACTGTACTAGGCACTGGGGATACAGTAGAGAACTAGAGACAAAGTCCCAGTCCTCGTGAAGCTCACATGCCCCATATTCATCCTAAGCCTGGAGCCCTGAGACTTAGACACTCCCCTGAAAGATGTATGCTAACACCAGTGGTAATGATTTGAGGAAATTAGTCATCTTTCCTATTTAGAAAGAGCCCCTGTAACTACGCACGTGGCCGCCTTCACAGGCAGAAAACCGCAGTGCCCTGAGCTCTCCCCGCGCTCGGTCCGCGGAAGTACAGCTCACTCTGGGCTCTGCCTCGTAGCCCCGCTGGCACCTGCTCGGCACTCTGGCAGCTCGGCCATGCCTTCCCACCACCACCCGTCTTGGTTCCTTTCTGCCTCCCGGGCAGAGTCGCAGGTCCCTGCCGACGCCTGGCTGTGCCCCTCACTCCTGCCTTGGTGCGGAGGGCCACCCTCACATCGGGGTTGCAACGGCTGCTCTTACGCCTTCAGCTCCAGACACTCGGTCTGGTCCAGTCTTTCACATATTTTCATCTATGAAGAGTTTCCCTTTGTTTCTTTATCCCTGTCAGCCTGCTTTGGGGAAAACGCCCCCGGCCATGAGAGAAGGCCAAGCAGGACAATCCCCAGCTGCAATCTGGGCTCAGACTCCCTCCCGTGGCCTCCCGGGCTCCAAGTAAATGGAGTGGGTGTCTGGGCCCCTTCCGGAGACCGTCAGGGGCCGGCTGGGTCCAGTTGCCTAGAGTGCCTCTAGGGGGCAGTGTGGTCTCATGCCACTCAGGCCAAATTAAAAGTCAGCTTACCGGCTCCCTGATGAAACTGGTATTTACCGAGCCCCCTGCCACGGGGACTGTGGGATGGGCACTCCGCAAGGCGCTGGAGCTGTCATGGTGAGCACGACAGGCAAGGCCTGGGCCCTGACGAGTGAAGAGCAAAGAAAGTAATTCCACGCGGCGGTGGGCTCTGTGAAGGAAGCTACTGTGAGGCGGCAGAGTAGTACCCCAAAGGAAGATGCAGGAGGACTCTCCATGGTTGGTAAGGGACGCCAGGCCCTGAGAAACGAGGTTACAGAGGCCTGGACGACGGCCGTGACAGTGCAGGAGAGGCAGGTGGACTCAAGATATTTTTGGAGATGGAACTGACAAGAATTTCTGATGGATGGGATATGAGAAGTGAGAGAAATGGAAGAATCCAGGGTGACTGACGCACAGAGAGAAAAATAACCAGGATCCTAAAACCTCCCTCGATTTAAGCCCCTTTTTAGAAAAGTAAGCTGCACCTCGCTGCAGCAGGTCAGTTCTGGGCTCTCCCAGGCGCCCGGCCTTCACTGCGACGCCTGCTTTCCAGTATGCAGACCCTGTGGCCGACCTGCTGGACCGCTGGGGCGTGTTCCGGGCCCGGCTCTTCAGAGAATCCTGTGTTTTCCATCGTGGGAACTATGTGAAGGACCTGAGTCGCCTTGGACGGGAGCTGAGCAAAGTGATCATCGTGGACAATTCTCCTGCCTCGTACATCTTCCACCCCGAGAACGCAGTAAGTAGCTCCCCAGATAAAGAACGCAGGGCTCCGTCTGAGCTCTCCTGCTGGGCAGCCCCTGCCTTTGTCCCTTCAAGCACCGATGCCAGGTTGCCTGGCCTTGTCCTTGGTGGAACCCCAACTCTGCCACTTAGCAGCTGCGTGACATTGACCAGGTGATTTCACCTCCCTGAGCATCAGTTGCCTCATCTGTCAAATGGGGATCATAGGAGTGCTGGTCTCATAGGATTATTGGAGGATTCGGTGTGGCAGCACGTGAAGAGCAGTTAAAACAGTGTTTGTGGTGGGTAAGTGCTCCGTGAGCTTGTTTCTTCTTAATATTTTTAGTATTATTACCGAGAAGTGTCCTGTCTGTCACGAACCTCCTGGAGCTGGCTGCTGCCCAGGACTTACAACCCTGCAGATATCTTCAACAGAAGTATTTCTTGCCCTGGTCAGGTTGGCTCAGTTGGTTGGTGCATCATCCCTGCAAGTTCGATTCCCGGTCAGGGCACATACCCAGGTTGCATGTTAGATCCCAGGTCAGAGTGCATATAGGAGGCAACCAATCAATGTTCCTCAGATCGATGTTTCTTTCTCTTTCCTCTCTCCCCCCACCCTTTCTCTAAAAATCAATAAACATATCCTCAGGTGAGGATTTTTTTTAAAAAAGTATTTCTTAAGCAAGAATGAATAGGGCACTTTAATAAGGTCTTCAGATAAAGCTGCCAGGCTTTACTGCCTCATAATGATGTGTAAAAAGTATACAATGGGAACATTTCCTACATAAAACTCCCTGGAGCGTGGCAGCTCTCAGTGTCTACGCACAGGGCACAATATGACTCTCAAAACAAGACGCCTGCCTCCCTATGTTCCCAGGGGAGGAGAGATCAGCCAGCCCAACAGTGACCACTGACCCCTCATCAGAAGCCACCACACCAGGCTCTCGGGCTCAACAGAAACCTACACAGGGTTTTTTCTTGAGCCCAGAACTTGGTTGCTCCACTTAAAATATAAAAATGAGTTCAAACTAGATTCGATTCATGTATAATCATTATTTTAATAGAGCTTTAAATTTACTATATTTAAATTTTTATTTTAATGAGTTAATCAAATGCAACATAATGCATTTTGTAATGTATTTCTAACAGATAAGGATTAGTTGGGGTTTTTTTTTAAAGATTTTATTTATTTACTTTTAGAGAGGGGGAAGGGAGGGAGAAAGAAAGGGAGAAAAACATCAATGTGTGAGAGAGACATCGATCAGTTGCCTCTCACACACCCCCAACCAGACACCTGGCCTGCAACCCAGGCATGTGCCCTGATTGGGAATCGAACCAGCGACCTTTCAGTTCACACCAGCCACACCAGCCAGAGTGCATTAGTTTCTCATATAATCACAATTCTGTTATCTCATCTAAGAAAACTTAACAGTTTCTTATACCTAATATCCAGACTTTATTCATATACTCCTTATTGTCTTGAAATGTTTTCTTACATTTGGATTGTTTGAATCGGAATCCAAACATGACATCTGGTTAATATGTCTCTTAATTCTTTTATAATCTGAATACTTCTCCTTCCCCTCACCTTTTGTCTTTCATGCATTTTGTTTGTTGAGGAAATTCTGTTTCTCTAATAGAAATTTCCTACACTCTCGATTTGCCTAATTGCAGCTTCAGGATGGTAGTTACTTTGCTTTCCTAGCCACTATATTTTCTTTAACCACAAAGTTAGATCTCTACCGCTAGATTAGGTACCATGTGAGGAGACACATAATGTCAGCTTGTCCCACTTTTAAAGATTTTAAATTCCTCTTTAGAGTCAGATGGTGTTCGTACATTTTCAAGTTCCCCATCACCCTTTCACCTGAAAATGTAAGCAGTTGCTGATCATTGCCCACATCCACTATTTCATTAGGAATTGCAAAATGGTGATTTCTAAATTTTATTCTTTCTGCATTTGTTGGCGGGGAGTCCAGTTTTTTAAAATTAAACTTGCCCTCATTGACTGCTTCATTACCCTAAAGTTCAGTTTGAATGTCTGAAAAGGAAAGGCAGGGTACAATATTAGCTCTTTTTCTTTAATCCTACAATTTCAGAGTAATGAGTTGGTACTCGAGCAACTTCCAAAGGTAACCAATGATTATTTTTTGGTAGGCATCATCATGAATTAATGTGTTTTTTTTATCGTTAACAATTTAATCCATCTATTATTCTTTTGTGTGCTTAGATCTTCACCTTTGGCCAGTAGACACGCCTTCCCATGATAGTATAGTCTTTGGGAGCTTCCTGCGCTCTGGACTCAGCAGATGTTCCAGACTCATCCTGTCCATTTCTTTCTTTTTCTTTTTTTTTTTTTTAAATGACCTATACAGTGGCTTCCATCTTTTAATGCTTTTCATCTATCCGTTTCTTGCTTCAGCCCTGTAATCAGCCACTTTTCTATGAAGCCTGGTTCCTATTAGCGGAAATGGCTTAGAGACCACAATTTGGCAGGGTTCTCATTGTTATTGGAATGTCCTTTGCATTCAGCCCTTCCTACTGGACAGAGCTAAAATATACATGTTTTGAAGTGAATACTAAATTATAAATTCACATTGGTTTTCCCAATTCAATGTTATAACAGTTTTTATTTAATTTATTTGTTCTTGTATTTGCCTCTCTTCATAGGCTGAAATTCTTAATTCCTAAAGATAATAGCATCATTTTATATTTGATTTATTCTATAGTAAACGTATAATACCAAAATAGCAGTACTAGTACTATTACTAATAAGACAGTTGGGTACATTTATGGGTTTTTGGAGAAATGTACAAACGCTCTTGTAAAATTACTTGGAATAATTCTCTGTGTGGTTATGTCACCAACTTCATACACACTTAGCTCATTTTCATTGCTTTTTTCCTCAATGGCTTGATATTATTTTAGTCCTGTAATACATTTACAGGGTTCCAGCATCAAAGCTGTCAACAAAGATAAATTTAGATGAGCCTTGCGTCCGCGTTGGCCCTGTCCCCCACCCCACTCCTTCCTCTAGGAGTAGTCAATTTTTGCTGATCCCTACCTTATTTCTTTTTCTTAATTAGCTAATGAATTATGTTTCTAAGCAGACTTTAGACCTGTAAAAGGGTCAAATATTACTTTTAAGCTTTTAATTTCCCCAAATTTCTTTTTCAATCTGTTCTCCCAGGATACTACCAACCCTTTATCTAAAACTAAGAAAAAATCCAGTTCTTGGCCCATGCCTTCTGAATGCCCTGAAATTTTGTACTTCTCCTTTAAACGGATCGATGCTAAGCATGAGAGGAAGGCCCTCACTTCTCTCTGCCCCTCAGCTTGGCACAGTCACCCCATGTGGACCCTCCTAACCCCCCTCCATAGGCTCCCTGGTGTCCACGGTTGTCAGGAACCTCTGACTCCAGGCTCTGTGAGGTTCAAGGCGTTGGTTTGCTAGAAAGACCTTTTTGAAATGGGCAACTAGCAAGGCCAGTTCACACACGTTCTGCACCCTGGTTGCCTTTCTGAGCCCTGTCCCCAACCAGGCTGCTCTGGACCGATCTCAGTTGCGACGAGGAACAAACAAAATCGTGATGATGGAGATGATTGCTGGATACACGGCCTCCCTACCAAAGAAAATGTTGCTAGAGAAACGCGGGCCCCCGGTCAGGTTAGGAGCAGCCCCCAGCGCTGGATACAGCTCTGCTGCCCCCTCCACCCTCTGTCTTCCAGGTGCCTGTGCAGTCGTGGTTCGATGACATGACGGACACGGAGCTGCTGGACCTCATCCCCTTCTTTGAGGGCCTGAGCCAGGAGGACAGCGTGTACAGCATGCTGCACAGACTCTGCAATAGGTAGCCCCGGCCTCCGCCCGCCGCCTGCGCTCTGGAGCCCCCGGCCCTGGGCCCCTGCCTGGCCTCGGCTGCCCGGGAGCCGAATGTGAGGACGCTCCGTGCTCAGGACACGGGGTGATTGTGGCCATACCTACCTGTTTTATTTTTTAAGAACAGAAACAACTATTTTAAAATGAACTCTTTTAAAGAATTTCATAAAGGGACACGCATTTTACTGGATTTGCTTTTCTTAAAACATACCAAAAAGAAAAAAAATGGGGGAAAAAAAAAAGCTTGATATCTATCAGACTTCCTTTCAACTGTCCTCCCTTCAAAGCAGACAACCTGTCCCCTTCTCTCCCAGCTCGGAGCAGCTGACCCAACTCAGAATCTCTTTCCTACAGGAAGAAGTGCCTTTTTGAATGTTATTTTAAGCTGAGAGTTAATTTTTCTATACAACATATTTCCAGACATCTTTTAGTCTTTTATTGTCTTAGATTCTCTAAAAAGATAAAGATGACAATTTTCTAAAACCTGGGGGTGGGGGAGGGGTAGCGAGGTATGGGAGTGAGGCACAGGAGCCTGGCTCCCCACGGGCGTGGCGGCCTGCACGACCTGTCGCGCGTGCGCGCGCAGGCTCAGGCTCCTGACCGGAGTGTGTGTGACCGCGTCCGTGTCTCCATTCATCTCTGACCCAGTCTGGGGATGTGTCTGCAACTCTGTGGCTCACCACTTTGGGAAACAGTAGATTCGTGTATATTATTATGACTTTGGATGGTGACAAGTTGGTCTCAGAGTCACACTTTTCCCTTGAAAAGTGACATCCTGTCACTTCCGCTGTCACACTACTGCCATACTTCTGTATGTTTTTCGTTTTGTTGTCGTTTTGGGTAGAGCAGTTACAAAAGACTGAAACCCCTGGATTTTTTTTTTTTTTTACCTGTTCATTGATTTTTTTAAATCTTTCCTTTCCAAAAGCTGGATACACATGGAGCTGTTGGGGATTTTCTTTGCTGCTACTGCGCTGCCACCAAATGGAATTGACCAGCGGCTGTTACACTGTTCTTTGCCACTGTGCCTATGCTCAGACTCTGCTCACTGCTAAGCTGCACACTCGGACAGGGTTCGAAACATAGGTGTCCCGCCCCGCTGCGGGCTGCACCAGCTGTGCCCCTCCCCGGCACTGGCCGCGGGCGCTCCGAAGGGCGCAGACCAAGGGCCGGCATACCCCAGCAGGGCGGTGCTCATTTTAAACTGCAGTCAGCATCAGAGCCTCGGAGGAGCTGGCCGTTCTCTCTTGAGAACCCGTGGCCTCAACCAGCCACCACGCTGATGTGGCCCAAGTCTATCTCCAGGTCTTCTCTTTTCAAGCACAGCCTCTCTCTGAGCCGGGGGCTGGGGAAACCTGTCTAGAGGTGGGACTCGCTGTCTGTCCCGAGGCAGGGGGAGGAAGGCTCCCTCCCCGCGCCGGGGCTCCCTGAGCGGCCTCTCCCAGTGAGATATTTTAAGCAGTGCCATGTTCCTTGTTTGACAACAAGACAGTTTATAAAGTATTGCTCTTAAAAATAATTAAAAAGAAACCTTTCGTGTTGGCACCGTTGCCTTAGTCCTCTGTGGGTTGGGCCTCCGCCAGAGTTCTGGTGGGAGCAACTGGCACTAACAAGACTGGAAATTGGGTGTCAAAGTAAAATTTCTTTTTTGCTTTCATTCACAAAATAATGAAGCCAGCTGCCAATCACGTCTTCCCAACAGCACTTTGGTCTGTGGACCGCCTCGCGTTCAGAAGTGAGTATTCAAGGGTACCCAGGTCTCCCAACATTCTGAGTGTTCCGAACCCAGTAATCCACATGCCAATTAAAATAAAATCGGCCCCTTGCTGGGCATGACCACAGATAACGACGGTGACGTGGCAGATCTGCACATGCCATAAACCTTGATTTGAAAAACTAGTCATTAAATGAACCCGCTGCCTTAAATGTCTTGAATGTTGCAGTCAAGTGTCTTGTCACGTGTTGAAATCCACACAGAACTCAGTCCTGATATGAGAGCCTTAGACCCTCACCTGTGCCCCTTCTTTGTTGGGCATCATGGAGTCTTGTTTGGAATGGGGGGGCAGAGAGGACAGACATTCTAGAATATTTCAGGGGACAAGAACCTAGAAATAGTGCCAGATGGAGTGAGGACACTTGGCAGGCTTGAGCCAGACCCTTCACGCAGTAGTTCCCGAAAGCGCGTGGCGCACTGACGCAGCCAGGGCTGTGGAGGATGGCGCCGGGCCCTGCCACACGGACACAGGACGTCTCAGGAGGACCAGGGGACCCTCGGAGGGTCCTGGGTTCTGTGCACCTTATTTGACCACACTCCAAAATTCCATTTTTATTTTCATTCTTCATTCTGCTTTATGTACATAATCAAAATATCTATATATTTTTAATCATCTACATGTAAATGAAGCAATAGATTTCTAACGTAAGGCCAAGAAATGAGATGAATGTTTGGGGTTTATGTTTTTTAAGGTAAATACGGGTATTGTTTTTAATTATTACCTTCTATTAAATTGTGGGCTTTAAAAACCTAATTGAAACCAATTAGCTCTTTCTCTGTGCCATATATTTCCCATGTTACCAAAACATCCCTAACTCTTTAGCCAAAAGAGAAATCTGACCTCCTGAGTCTCCATGGTCCCTTCTGTACCAGGTTGAAATATAGCCTTTGGACAAGTGTTTTTTACATTAAAATCTGGAACAGGATACCTTGGGTCATGGATCCTGGCCCCTATGATGCTGTGACATCTCTGGCCGGGCCTCGAGTGGAGGTGCCCGGGCACGTCTGAGGTCGTGACTGCTCTGTCTTCCATTGCTCTGAAATCCTCCGTGTTGGTCTGTGGTTTCACCCGTTAGCTGTTTGTAGACAACACGTTTGTATGCTTAGAAGGAATACCTCCTGTCACGGTTGATGGTTGGTGGGAAGCTCCTTTGACATGGTGCAACTTCGATGAGCTGACTCTGGAGATGACTGAGGATGCCCTAGTGACACTGACTTGTCATGGTTGCAGCATGTGAACTGGGGTATAAAAAAGAAATCTGTAATTCTATAACCTGGCAACATTTGACAACCCTGTATTTGAAAGATGGCTTTCTAATAAAATCCAGAACCACGCAGCCCTATGGTCAAACACTCGTGACGTTTGTGCCTCTGCGTTTTCAAGGTGCTGTGGTGGACAGTGGCGTGCCGGGGTTCGAGAAGAGTGCGTGGCTTGGGGTGCTTGCAGTCCGTTACCTGTGCCAAACTGACTGGCTGCCTCTGTTCCTATTTTACTGTAACCTGATGGTGTCTGGTCCTGTTCCATTCTCCAGGGAGCTTCTCTGCAGACTAACCCCCCTTCCCCCAACCCCCAAGTAGCGGAGATGCTGGTGTCTGGGTGGTCATGGATTTTTGGACATTTGAATGTGATACGCAATCCAGCATTACTCGAGAAATACTACATGTGGAATGTGCACGTTTCCAGGGGCGAGCATTGTTAAGTCAAGAGATTTGCAATGATTTCCTTCCTGCCTGCCAAAAATAAACATGTAAAACTGCGCCCTCTTGTGGATGGACTGCTTCTCTACCGGCAGCGCCTCTCCTCTCCCTGTTCTCTGTTCTCTCTCTACCCACTGCCCAGCCTCATGCCCGCACCTTGGGTCTCCTGGTTCTCGGGCTTCTGGAGTATGGGAGCAGGGTTGCAGGATCTTAGGAGCCCTGGACCTTGACCCCAGGGGGAGTCAGAGACCCATTCTGCCCAATGTTAGCCCCCCCTGCCCCGCCCCAGCTTGTCAGAAGCAGCCTGGCTCGCGGTCCTCCCACAAGGATTTCATCCTTTCTAAGTGCAGCCTGAGAGAACCATGGCCCCCACCGCACCCCACGAGAGCCACCAGCCTGGTGTGTGCTGCCTGCGGAGCCCATAGCCCTGGGTACGCTGGCCGAGATGCTGCGATTACCGTGTTCTGCAGTGTCTCTTCTGCCACGGGGTTCTGCTAGGCATGTTACTCATCTCAAACAACACGGGACAGTGTATCAGCCCGGAAGGCCCAGTATTTACCCAGACAAAGCCCAAGTCCCCCGTGGTTCGTCTGTGCTGTGCTCCAAGGTGCCCGTTCCACAGTGAAGCAGCCCAGCCTGCCAGAGAGGTCTCCCGGCCACAGTTTTTGTCCCGGGCCCTGGACCCCAGCTGTGGCCTGCCCCCCTGTCACTCCTCCCCTGCGCTCCCTATCCCTCTCCTCACCCTCTCTCGCCTGGAGCTTTGCCCCCCCACCCCCGACTGCTGCACACCTTTGCATGCAAGCAAATGGTTGGTGAAGCTGAGGTGTCCCGGTGCGTGTTCACAGATCCGCTCATAGCACGGGTCACTTCTTTGGGACTTGGGCACACTGAGATTTCACCTCCTGAATTTTTATTTTATTTTTTATTTCATTTTCATTTCATTTCCATTTTTTTTGAGCCCTCATCATCAGTGTGTATTCCAGAACCAAGGAAAGGACCAGAAGGCCAGGAGGGTGGAGGTGGAGTGGCTGGGAAAGCCGGCCTGGGCACAGTCCATGGCGCTGACGGGGTAGGGGTGCGTTGGGGCTGTGGGGGAGCCCTCCCAGTCACCTGGCAGGATTGCGCGGCAGAGCCGGTGCCCGGGCTGCCCGTGGGTCCACAGGCAAATCAAGGCTCAGAGCCGCCACACTAGCTTGCCCACCAGCCTGATCTCTGGGGATGGGTACCCCGGCCCCTCAGGAGGAAGCTGTGTGGGCTCCAGAGCTTTCTACCCCAAACCCTCACTGCAGCTGCACCCACTAGCCCAGTGATCCGCAGCTCCAGCCGCCCATTAGACTCACCTGAGGGCGCGTCAAAGTCCAAATCCCTTGAGGACCCCAGACCATTTAAACCCAGCTCTCTGAGAGTGGGCCTCAAAAGTGCGGCCTGGGCTGAGAACCCCTGCTCTGACCAGCTATGGAGGAAGTGAAAGTCTCCCCAACCTGCTGCAGGCCTGACACCCAGGTATGTCCAGGAAGCTTCCCTGAGGCAGGCGTGAGAATGGGCCCTGTTAAGGGCGCCTCACGACTAACGGCTCCCTGCTTTTACTCTTGAGCCGGGGAGCAGAACAGACATCCGCACGGGAGCTCTGGGTCACCCTTCCCCCCAGGAACGGAACTGAGACAGCCCTGCCCAAGCTGTGTGTGGACGGGGTGGGTGCGCCACTGACTCGTCACCGGTGTACAAGGCGGCCACACCTTCCTCCTGCGCGGGGACCTGGGACTGCTCTTGGGACAGACGACTTCGGCACCCCACGCCGCCCCTCAGAGTAGTGGCCCCACAGGCACAGCTCCACCGCAGGTCCTGGGGGTCCCCACAGCGCCCTCGAGGGGCTGCTCTCAGGCCCATGCGCGACCTGGTAGCTGGGTCCCTGCTTCTCCACAGCTTGCGGCCAAATGTGGGACGCCCATGAGGGCGTTTTTCCAGGCAGTGGAATCCAGGACCAGAGTCAGGTGTCTCAACACCTGCCCCACACTCTGTCCGCGTGGGGCACAACCCCTCTTCTCCCCTGCGGGGTCCGGTCTGCACTAGGGGCAACCTTTTGCACCTGTCGGGGAAGGAGACCTGGGAACCAGCTGTGGGAGCTTAGGGGCGGGGCTTGGGACGGGGCTGGTTTCCAGCGCCTGCCCCGCCCACCGTGGGCCACCCTGCCGCCTTTGCCAATATTAACCTTAGCGGGCTGGGCCTTGGAAGATAAGCCAGGAAGGAACAAAGTAGGGGGGCAGAGCCCTCAGAACCTGCGGGGCGGAGGTTGGGATGGCTCTGGGGACTTGGGGGCCGGAAGAGGTCAGTGGGACTGAGGAGTCATGGCCAGGGAGGTGCAGGCGGAGGCAAGCCAAGTTCAGGGCCCTTCCGACTGCAGGCCCGGATCCATGGGAGGGAGCGGAGCAAGAGGGGGGCGTGGAGCGCCCTTCTTGCTCTGGGAGAAGAGGGAGGGAAAGACGGGGCACCCCCTCCATGTTGCACCCCGCCTGCAGGCATTCCCCAGGCTCCAGTTCCTTCTCCCCGGTCCGTGGGTGTGATCCCATGAGCTGAGGATTGGCCACACCAGACACAAAGCCGTGTTGCTTACGTTGGCCCCAGGCCGGGCACTGGGTCCCGCGGCTCTCTCTCCAGGCCCTGGGATGCCAGGGCGGGGCTGTTCTGGGGTAAGGTCCTTATGCCCACCCAAGGTCTTCAGGACCCCAGAGACCCATCAGATTCTGAGGTGGGGGCCTTGGAGAGGTCCTGTGGCCCTCACTAAGCAGCCAAGGCATGACCACACGGATGGCTGTGATCTCCGCGGCCGCCTGAGGCAAGGGCCCGTCACCTGGGAACAGGCTGCGAATGTCCCTAAGGTCACTCAGCCAGTGGGTTGGAAAGCTTCAGCCAGGGTTGGAACCTGACCCTGGGGAGAACTCCCAGGGCCCGGCTTCAGGACAGAGCCCAGCGGAGGGCCCAACACCGCCCCCCACCTCCCCACCCCCAGTCAGGCCCAGGCCACAGGAGGATGTCGACGACTATTCACACAGGGACGATGGTGCCCGGGGCCCCCCTGCAGAAACGGATAGAGTGGTGAGCAAGGCCCTGCCCACAACGGGCTTCCCCTGCAGCTGGGGACACGGACAGGGCATGAGAGTGCCTGTCGATACGCTTCTGAAAGCGCTAAGATGAAGAAAAGGGAGTATGTCGGCGAGGAGCGGGGACTGCTTTAGCTAAGGAGGTGAGGGAAGGCCCCTCTGGTTGAGGCCAGAAGGCAGAAAAGATGTCTTGGGAAAAATTGGGGTGGAGAGGCTTCCAAGCCGTGGGTGCAACAAGAGCCAAGGCAGCTGGAACACAGCAAGGGATGGGGCGTGTGATGGGAGCTGCAGCAGGGGGACAGGCAACGGGGGGGGGGGGGGGGGTTATTTCAGGGAAGCTACTGGAAGGTGGGAAGCAGGGGAGAGGCGGGATCCAATTTATGGTGAAAAGATCCCTCTGGCTCCATGGGGGCCTGGAGAGACCCCGAGGGAGGCTCACGATGCCAGCTGATGCGGAAGGCTGGCCCCAGAGCAGGGCAGGAGTTGAGAGGGCTGGCCAGGCTCAGGGTCCAGGGTGAGCCAGCCTGGCCAGTGGGGGCGAGGGAAGGAGGGGGACCGTGCACAGCTCCCCCGTTTGGGGCCTGAGCACCCAGCTGGCTGTTCAGCCACCCACTGAGACTCCGAGGAGGTGGATCTGAGAGAGGCCTGATGTGGGGTCAGGCGTGGGGTCAGCGGGGTCCCGAGTGAAGAGACAGAGGCTGGGATGGGGTTCAGAAGACAGGGAGTTGGGGTCAGAGGGCACACTAGCATCGCCGGGGTAGCGACAGCCTGGGGACTGGAACTGGGAAAGGAAAATTGAAAAAAGACAGGAGCTAAGGCCCGGGCTGTGGGTCACGGATAGTTAAAGGCTTCGAGGGTGATAGGGCGTGGCCCGCGTGGCAGGGAGAAAACGTGGGCTCTTTCGAGAGGAAGGAGTGGCCAGCAGGGTCCCTAGTTGGTGAGAGGGGCAGTGGTGACTAGGAGAGCCATGTCTGGGGACTGTGGGGACAAAGACCGGCTGGAGTGGACAGATAAGAGGCTCCGAGACGAGAAAGTGGGGAAAAGTGAGTACTTGGCATTTTGCTGGACGCGGGGTGGGGGGTGGGAATGGAGACAGGGAAACGGAGGGGGGGGCCCCCCGGCGGAGCCAGACTCACACACTCAGGTGCAAGAGCAGAGGGTTCAGCAGGCACCCTCTCACACGGGGTCAGGCACGCACACGGGCGTCCTCTCACACACAGGCCCCCTAACTCTGTTAAACACAGCCACACACTGCCAGTAGGTCCTACTGCGCTCAGGCGGACCCAGAGATGCTGCAGCCCCCCCGCCCTGACCCGGCGACAGGGAGCCGTCGGAGCTGAGGGCTGGCCCCCCGGGGAAAGGCCGTGGGGTCAGCGGGAGGGGTTTAGCGGTGTTGTCCCGAACAGAGCATCCACCCTGGCTGGGCTGTAGCTGGGACTGAGACCTTAGGTACAGGGTGGCCATGACCCTGGAGTTTCTAGAAGGCTCTCTTTCTAGCAACTTCCCCACCCCACAATCGGGGACAGGAGGGGGCAGCCCAAGGTGTGGGGGAGGTGTCGTCTCTGAAAGGGTGACTGGCCTCTCCCGTGATAGATATCAGGGCTTGCTGGGGGGGCTGTGCCAGGCATGGAGCCCAAACTGGGGGTGGGGAGGACAGCAGAGATGCTGGAGAGAGCCCTGGCCACCTCCCCCCACCTCCTGAACAGACCTGGTCTCACAGAGCCAGACTGTCGCCCTCTCCACCCAGCCCCCTGCCCTGCCAGCTTTGGTCCTACTTCTGCTAAAATTCACTGGGGTGGCCTGGCTTTCTGGGGGTCAGGGATGAAGAGCCTGCCTGGGCTCTCAGAGAAGGGAAGCCACAGCGTATCCCACAGGCACCCAGTGGCCCGGCCCAGGCCTCCATTCCCCTCTGGCTCTAGCCACTGGCACCTCGGGGTGTGGCCTGGCCCTAAAGAGGGGGCTTGCTCTCAGAGAGCTGGGTCAATATTTGTTGGCTAAGTGAAGGACCAAGTCTGAAGGCCCAGGCCGCCAGGCGGCGGGGTGTGTCCCGCAGGGCGGGAGCAGGGACTGGGTTACAGCGGAGGGGGCGTGGTGGGCAGAGCCTGGCCGGGCGCCAGGCCCAGCGCTGCCGAGAGGCAGGGCGAAGGTGCCAGCAGTTTCCACCAGCAGGTAGGCCCTGCAGGGAGGGGGCGCGGGTGCAGCCGGGCCGGGGGCTCCGGGGAGCCGGGTGGGGCGGGTCGTTCTGAGTCAGGGGTGTCCACCTCGGGCACCGGCTCAGGGTGGCCAAGGGGCAGGCAGAGCTGGGGGGGCCAGCGAGGGGCACCTCTGGTAGGGGCAGGGAGGCCACCACCGGGGCCACTGACAGGGAAGGGAGTAGCCGTGGTACGCGGGCCGGGCGGGGGTGGCTGCCGCCACTGAAGTCGGAACTCCAGGGGACCGGGCGGCCCTCCGCTCCTCCACCGGCAGGCAGCGCCCCTCCCCCCTCTGGGACGCTGAGTGAGGTCACCTCAGGGTCCGCCTTTCACAGCTACCTGGGGAGGCGGAAGCTGAGCGCCTGGGGGAGGAAAGGGGCGCCTGGGGAGGGGGTGAGCACCTGGGGAGGGAGAGGGGGCGCTGGGGGAAGGGGAGCAGTGTCTGGAAGGAAGGTAACATTTTGGTGGGAGGGGAGCCCACGGGAGAGGCGGTGCGTTGGAGGAGGAGCGGGGTGTGGGAGGAGGCACCTGGGGAAAGGAGGGGCATTAGGGGACTGGGACCCGTGATATTGGAGGAACTGGGCATCTCTGAGGGAAAAGAGGCTCAGGGTGGAGGGAGCCAGCCCCCAGGGAAAAGAAAAAGAAGGGTCCTGCTCCCCCTCCTCAGAGAAGGTGATAGAAGGGAACTCCTCAGGGGAGAGGGGGACATCTGTGGGTGGGAGGGCTTAGCAAGTGAGAGGGGCTCTGGAGAGGGAAGGGACCCCCGAGAAAGACACAGGATCCTAGGGGAAAGAGGGGCAGGCCTTCGAGCATCCCCCCATCCCCGCGGGGGTGGGGGGCCGTCCTCCCAAATCTCTCCTGGAGGCCGCTGCACATAGGCTCCACGGGCAGGAGGGAGGAGGGTCCTGGGCGCCTGCGAGTTGGCTCCTTGGCTGGAGCTGGGTGTGGGGCACCCTCTCACCCTGTCAGCCCCTCAGGGATGCTGTCCCCACCCACTGAAAGCCCAGTCCCAGCTTTCTGGCCACAGTTTGACTTCCTGTCCCATGTAGTGACCACGGAGCTGAGGCCAGCCAGTCTCCCTGTCACCCTGTCGCTGTGTCACATTGCTGCAAGATCTACAGCTCAGAGTTGGTGCCTCTGCTCACCGCTTCTGCCCCGTCACCTCTAAATGTCGCTGTGCCTGTCACTTGGTGTCGTCACGTGTTTTCTGTTGCTTGAGGCCCCCTTTACGTGGTCACTGTGTCTGCCGGGCACTCATGTCACTGTCATACCACCAGGCCACCAACTACGACAGCAGCCCTGGGTACAGTTAGAGCTCACGGTGACGTTCCGTCTCCATCCCCGTTCACTCAGCGCAGTCCCAGGCCACAGGCTTCGCTCATTCAGCAGCTGCTTGCTGAGTGCCTGCCCATAAACCAGACCGGCTCCTGGCCCCAGGAATCCATTCCCACAGCCTGCGTGGTCGCCAGAGTGTGTTCCAAGGGGTCCCAGGCTTCCGCAAAACCTGCCCTTCCAGGAGGACAGCCCCCTCTGCCTGCCTTGCTCTGGGCAGCTCTCCCCAGCCCCTCCCCCTGCCCACCCCCTCCCCCCACCCACCCCCCACTCCACGGCCACCTTGACCCTCCCAGAGAGGGTTGGGTGTTTCCCATGGTGTGCTGTGAGCTCACCAAGGCCTGAGCCCTGCCCCGGGCCGGGGGGTGGGGGGCGCCACGTTGTTTCACCTGTCACGCCATGCCTCTGCTTCTGTAACTCTCTATCTCTGCTCCACATCGTTCCCGGTGGGTCACGCAGGGCCCAGCCGAGGGTGCTCCTCCTGCTAATAAGGCGGGGGCAGGGGGGGGGCGGGAGGGGGAGAGGGGAAGGGAGATGACTTAACACCCAGCAGGGCCACTTGGAATGAGAAATTCAGAAAGAAGGGACTTCTGGGCCTGGTGAGCAGAGCAGCAGCGAGAAGAAAAGTTGCAGCCGGATACCGGGATTTAGGTTAGATGCAGGGAGGACTTCCGCGGAGGAAGAACTGAGCAAACCTCACACAGGGGTTTCTGAAAGAGTGGAGCGGGGGAGCCTGGGGCAGGTGAGAGTCACCTGCTGAGAGGTAACAGAAGGGGGAGCCCCGGTCCTCCCCAGATACCTCTCACTCCGGCTTCCCTCCCTCCTGGGCACCCTGGGAGCCACGGGCACAAACTCAAGCGAACTAAGTCCGTCTGCGGAGCCTGTGTGTCTCACAAGCTCAGCTCGGTCCCAGGAATTTGAGTGCTGTGCCTGATGTACCCAGCCTGCTCCCGTTAGCTAAGCCTGTCTGTCGCTTGCTGCGGTCTCTCACTGTCTTCAGAGACTGTCCTGTGTTCAGGGTCCACCCTGAGTCCAAAGGACCTTTGTCTGGTCTGCAGAGCCCGCTTCTGTCCTGGGCCTATTGTCAGAGTCTTTTTTTTTTGTCCCCAGAACCTGGGTCTTTTTAGACAGCCTGTCCTGTTCACTGTGTATGAGGCCAGCATGGATGGCAGAAGCTGCCCAGCTGGTACAGCCCAACCCTGTCAACAGAGCTCGCCTGGCATCCTTGTCTAGGACACCTCTTTCTGCCTGAGGACACTTTTTGCAGTTTGCAAAGCTTTGCCTGTGGAAAGTATCTGTCCCTGTCGGCAGGGCCTCTTTCTTCTGCCATAAGCATCTGTCCCTAGACAATGTCCCTCTTCGCAGCCTGTTCCTACTTCAGAGCCTGGTCCTGTGTGCAGACCCTGAGCCCTCTTTGTCCAGCCTATGGCATTCTCCAAGGCCTTGGCCTGAATTTCCCTGGACAGAAACTATGTCCGCTTGCAGGACCTCTTCCCATGAAGAGCCCATCATTGTCAGGTTGTTGTGTCCACTGGGGAGCACCTGTCACTTTCTACAGATGCAGAGCCTGCTTGCAGAGCCTGCTTGCAGAGCCTGCGGCTGCCTGCGCACATCTTTCCTAATTCCGTGGGCACCTGTCAGCAGAGCCAGTCCCCAGTACAGAGCTCTCCCTCTCTCCGGAACCCGTCCTTTGCTAGGAAACCTGACCCTGTCAGCAGACCCCAGGCTCCCTGCAGAAGCCAGCCCTGTTTCAAGACCTTGCCCACATCTGGGGCATCTGTGCTTGACACAGAGCCCACAGCCCTGCCAGCTGCTTTCAGCAAACCCTGCCATCTCTGAAGACCTGTCCCTGTGAACAGAGCCTGTCTGTTTGCGGAGCCTGTGTGGGCTTAACCCACACAAAACCTCTGCCTATCTGCACAGCCTGTCTCTAGAGGCGGAGTCCGCGGGGCCTGTGTCTTTTTCCAGAGCTTGGATCTCATTGTCACGTTCGTGAATGCTTGTCCAGCCCACTCCCTCCTCCCCTGGAGGCCGGCGTCAAGCCTGCCTCCCGAGGCTGTCCCTGCGTGCAGAGCCTGGACGCACCGAAAGAGCTTTTGCCTGCTTCTGTCTGGGAAGCACTTCTCCAGCTGACGATGTTGTGCCGTGGGCAGATCTGCCCTATCCATCTCCCTGTCCCTATCTGCAGAGTCTATCCCCATGCAAATCTGCCCTCATCTTAAGGGTTTGTCCCCGTGCGCATTTCGCAAAGCCCTTCCCAGTCAGCAAGGCTCCTCCATGGCTGCAGAACCTGTGGCTGTTTGTAGAGTCTTTTCCAGTGTCCACACGATTTGCTTATTTTGCCGGCCTGTCCGAGATTCCCTGGGGAGAAGCCGTGTCTCTGCACAGACTGTCCTTATACACACAGACGCTCCCTGGCTCCAGACCTCGTTGTCCTCAGGAGAACCTGTGCCTGTTGCACACTGCTCTTCCGTCTGGGGAAGCCATTGACCTGTTTGCAGAGCCCGTGCTGCTCCGCAGAGGCTTTTTCTGCCCTCATAGCCTCTCCCTCTCCTCAGGTGCCCCGTCTCTGTGCATTGTCCCTTCCTAATGGTCTGGAAAACCTTTGCCTATTTGCAGCTCTGTCCCTGTGTGCGGAGCCTGTCTGTGTCTACAAGGTTCAGTCTCGTTTCAACAGCCTGTCCTTGTTTGCAGAGCCTGTCCCCGCCTGCAGAATCTGTGCTTGCCAGCAGAGCCTCAGCCTGTCTGCGTAACCTGTCACAGCGCCTAGAGGGGCCGTCCTGACTGTAGCTCCTCTGTCCGTCTGCATCGCCTGTTTCTAACCCCCTGCCTGTTTGCAGAGCTAGTCCCTATGTTCAAAGGCCGTCCCTGCCCACAGAGCTCAGCCCTGTTTCAAGGGCACAAGCGCAGATGACAAACCAAGTCCCTGTTGGCAAAGCCTCCCTGTGCCGACCTTTGGGGCACCTGTCCTGGCTCCCTGGCATTTGTGCGTTCATAGAGTCTTCCTCATGAAAGGCATGTGCTTTGACGTAGGTGCTTTGGAGAGCTGCAGGCAGGGACAGTTCTTGCCTGGAGGCCAGGGTTTGAGAGCTCTGGCTCTTGTTTCCTCCCTCGCTCCCGTGTGGTCTAGGATGGACGTCAGGAGCCTCCCAGCCATGGAGAGCCCTAGAGACCTCCACGTATGGATCGTTGAGGTGAGAGGCTCAACCAACAGCAGCCTTGGTGCCACAGAAAGTATGTGCTCTCTGAAACTAGGCTTCTCCTGGGCCTCAGCTCACCTCCACCCTCCCCCCAGAGGGCCAGGGGTGTGTGTCGGGGGAAGGGCCTCCTGGGTTGTCACTGAACAGCTTCCTCTCCCAGAACCTGGAGATGGTGCCTGTACCTGAGAGAGCTTATGGGAACTTCTTTGAGGAACGCTGCTACATCGTCCTCCATGTGAGTGCTGGGGACCCTGGGGGGTGGCACGGCCCAGCTGGGGAGTCTGATGGTGCAGCGTAAGGTCCTCCCTGGGGAGAGGCTGGCCGGGGGCCCCAGAATCCCATCCCACAAGAAGGCTGCTGCCTCTGAGGTTGCCTAGCCCTCCCACCCCCCATTCTAGATCCCCTGCCCCGTCTCCCCGAGGCCCTTGCACATCTTGGACCTTGACATCAGTGTCCACTTATGCCCTGGCCCTCGACCTCTCCCCAACCCTGGAACCTCAGCTTTCAACCACCCCTGACCCCACAAACACCTGGGCCCTATGTCCCCCAGCGCCTGAAGGGCACGCAGGGGACAGCCACGGACCTGCACTACTGGATCGGAAAGAAGGCCAGCGCAGAGGCCGAGGGCGCCGCGGGCACCTTTGTGCAGCACCTGCAGGAGGCACTGGGTGGCGCCACGGTGCAGCACCGCGAGGCACAGGGCCACGAATCCGACTGTTTCCGCAGTTACTTCCGCCCAGGGGTCCTGTGAGTGAGGGGTTGGGGGGTCACTGGGGAGGAACAGAGCGGTCAGGCGGCCCGGGTGACTCTCTCCCTCATCCCTAGTGCATGGAGTGTTCAGGAATGGCTGACACCCTGACTGCAGCACAAATCACACGCCACGGCCCTCACCATTTACAGTGCGCCCTTCGGTGATTTTTAGTGTATTCACTGAGTTGTGCAGCCATCACCAGAGTTTTAGAACATCTTCATCATCCCTACCCTTTAGCAGCCACTCCCCACCTCCCCCCAGTACTCCCTGCCCCATCGGTACAGATTTGCCTATTCTGGGCATGCCATGTAAATGGCTTTATATAACACATGGTATATGGATATTCCACATTTTATGTATATATTCATCACGTAAAGGACATCTGAGTTGTTTCCACTTTTTAGCTGTTATGGGTAATGTTGTATACAAGATTTTTTCGTTCTCCAGTTTATGGAAATATAACTGACACACACCACCGTGTAAGTCTGAGGTGTACAGGATATGGCTTGACCTCCCTATATTGTGAAGTGATTATTGCTCTAACACCCGAGAGGTAACACCCAATATTATATACAGGATTTTGTGTGGACATAGTTTTGCATTTCTCTCAGGTATAGACCCAGAAGTGGACACCCATGGCGTTTTGAGTTTGCTTTTATGTTAGTGTGCCCAGGAGAAACATGCATTTTGCTGTAAATTGTTTCAAATATGCGTTAAATTCATAATTGTAATATATTAGGTTGAACCACAGGAAATTGCCAACAGTTGATCATTTCTGTTTTATGCAGTTAAACCTAATACATGCTTATAGTACATACATGAGCTCATGTATGCATGTATACATGCACATGCAGGAAACATGCCACTTCTATATATGTTCACCTACAGATGGGTACACCTACACATGCACCTGAATAGCCATGTCCACCTACACACATGTGCTGTTCCTGAATTCCACACACTCACCTCAGTGCCCACACAAATAAACAGATACACTGCTGCCAGTATACAAGTGCCTTGTATGTGCATGTGCAGGTTTGCATGCACATGCATGTATTTACCTCTGTGCACATGGATAATCAGATACACACTACGCCCATGCAGGTGCGCATGTACATGCACACATGTCTACATATTTACAGATAAGCACATGCACGCTGCTGCCCCATGTGTGTAGCCATGTGCTTGTGCACATGCTCCTATCTGCATGCACATGTGTGTTCCCATGTGGGTCCAGGCACACGCTCACCCCTGCACTCACCCCTGCACGTGGCAGTATATGACTTTACACTGTGGGACCCCATCCCTCCTCAGCTACAGGAAGGGAAGCCCCCCTTCTGACCTCACGCACATGGAGACCAACATGTTCAACATCCAGAGGCTGCTGCGCATCGAAGGGAGGAAGCATGTGTCAGCCACCGAGGTGAGGATGCCAGTGGTGCCGCTTGGTCTCTAGGTCGGCTCAGACTTCGTGTACTGAAGTACAGGGACGGTGGAGGGTGCCAGGGGAATGGGGGGGTAGTCCCATGGGCTGTCATCATGCCCGGTGGCCCATCTTTTTCTTAGATTTGTTTTTCAGTTACAGTTGAAATACAACATTAGTTTCAGGTATACAGCATGGTGATTAGGCATTCTTGTAACTTACAAAGTGATCGCTCCATTAAGTCTGGTGCCCAGTCCCCAGATGGCCTGTCTTGAATAAGGAGAGAGAAGGCAGAGCTAGGCTTTCGGCCCCACCCCCGCCATGGCTCCTCTGACCCTCTGTTTCCTCATTGATTTCCTGGCCATATTAAGAACTTGGGGCGGGGCCCGGTTGGGGAGCGGGATACGAGCAGACAAGATGTTGCACCTGGATGGTCCTTATAAGCAGTACAAGGGGAAGGAGGTGATTTTGGGTGGGGGATATACACAGCCCCACACTCTCATACGTGTTGTCATTGTCACCCATAGGCACACAGTGTCTCCCACTGTTCCCCTGGGTCCACTCTAGTCCACTGAGTGCCCTTGTGCAATTGAGAACAGAGTGCACCTTACTTTCATCTGCCAGGAAGCTAACAGAAAATGCCAATATCGGTAGGACAGGACGTTTTGCCACCATCTGGCTGACATTTGGTATCATGAACATTCAGGTGCTTGATGCCCATGATGTGAATGAGCCTGGGTTGTATGCGTTACTATCTACATGGTGTGTAGCAGCCCTGTGACTTGGAGACAGTCCCACACAGGCTCACACACTGTCGCCCACAGATCCAGTGACCACACGTCCCTGATCATGCAGGGACACCATGCAACCCTGGGTTTTGCTTGTTATCCTGGCATAATTTTTTAGTCTCCCCTTTTACTCTCTGCCTGGATGATCACCGCTTATCCATAGATAACACACTGTTCCCCACGGGCACGCATACACTGTCACCCATGAGCTCACACACTTGTTCATATGTGATATGCCCTCACATATGTACAAGTGTACCTGTACCCACACATCTACACACACGGATAAACATAAGCACACCCCATTTGTATGCATATGTGCATATATGCTTTTACCGCTATGGACATGCATTGAGTGAAAAGCGTCATAATCATGTATACCCTGTGATAGGCAGCATTATCTATGGTCACACATGCCCAGAAATGCACACAGCCATGGCCACAGCGTGGCCTTGAAGATGTCATATGGTTACACAGATGCATGTCTTCATGCCACGCCATGACAGTGGTGTCATGGCCTCTCAGACATGCAGTTGCACAGAGCTTCACGCACACATGTGACGCACCTGAGCTATGCTCACATCAGTAGGGACAGGCTGTAGTTCCCCTGCCCTTGGGTGCTGGCGCTGTGACACACTGTCTCCCTCCCTGCCCCCTCCTTGCTCGGCAGGTGGAGCTCTCCTGGGAAAGTTTTAATAAGGGCAACATCTTCCTGCTGGACCTGGGCAAGGTGATGATCCTGTGGAATGGGCCCAAGACCAGCATCTCCGAGAAGGCACGGGTCAGTGTCTGCCCTGGGAACGAAGGGGTGTGGGACTTGGGGAGAGAGGTGGCCCTCCAGGTACCCATCCTCCATCTGCCCCAGGAGGTAGTCCTGGCTCTCCACTACCGCCTGGAAAGCAACCACTAGGTGCAAGCTGAGTCAGACCCTGTACTGGTGGTGCCTCTGGGTGCCAGATAAGGGGCACCCTCCCCCAGCCCCTGGGAGCTGAGCGGTGACAGGAAGCATCTGGGATGTTGCTGGAGGCGTGAAGGGGCCGTGCTGGGGAAGCCCTGACCACCAGGTTCTCTCCCACAGGGCCTGGCCCTGACCCGCAGCCTCCAGGACAGGGAGCGTGGTGGCCGTGCACAGATTGGTGTGGTGGATGACGAGGTCAAAGCCTCTGGCCTCATGGCGATCATGGAAGCTGTGCTGGGCCGCAGGGTGGGCAGCCTGCACGCCACCATGCCCAGCAAGGGTGTTGCCCAGCTGCAGAAGGCCCGTGTCCACCTCTACCTGTGAGCAGCCCTCGGGAGCGGGCGGGGTGGGTGGAACAGGCCAGGCCTGCGTGTCCATCATTACGGCAACAACACAGGGTCCCTAGAAAGCCCTCCAGAAAAGGCTCACGGGTTTCCGGGGTGGGCCATGTGGGACCTTGGGCCCAACCTATACTCTTGCATGGCAGAAACCCATTGTACAGACAAGGCAACCAAGGCCCTGAGAAGGCCAGGCCGTTGCCTCAGGCTTCTACTCGTGGCCCAGGACCCCATGCCTCTGCCTCGGGGTGGGGGAAGGGGGCTCAATGGGGCTAGAGTGGAGCCAGGCCAGGAAGAGGCTGAGCTGCCCACATCTGGACGCCTGTCCTCCAGTGTCTATGAGAAGGGTAAGGACCTGGTGATCCAGGAGATGGCGACCCGCCCACTGACCCAAGACCTGCTGCAGGAGGAGGTGAGGCAGGCCTGGCCCCTGTCACCCCCCGCCCCCTCCACAGCACAGCCCTCCCGGCCTGGCCCCGCTACTGACCAGCCCCACTCTGGCTCCCAGGACTGCTACATCCTGGACCAGGGGGGTTTCAGGATCTACGTGTGGCAGGGCCGCAAGTCTAACCACCAGGACAAAAAGGCCGCCTTCAGCTGGGCCCTGGTGAGGCTGTGGGGCCCTGCCCTGGGGCTGGAGGGGGGAGGCAGCACTGCCCTGGGGTCTGAGGGAGGAAACAGTGCTACCCTGAAGCCCTGCCCTGGGGCCAGGAGGTGGGTAAGTCCTGCCCCGGGAGCCTGGCTGGTGGACAGGACCCTGCCTGGGATCTAAGGGTGGGGACAAACCTCCAGGTCTGAGGGAAGAGAGACAGCTGTGAGTGGGGGAGGGGTCTGCGGGAACACAGGGTCCCTCTGGGGGACTGGAGGCGCGTGGCCTACCTGGGGAGCCCGGATGGGGGAGGCTTGTGGGAACCGGTTAGCACCCACGAAACCATGTGTCAAAGGACAAGATGGCCCTGCCTTGAAGTCTGAGAAGCCTAGTGCACTGGGCGCCCCTCCTTTTCCTGAAGGGGAGACGGGGCTCTGCCTGGGGTCTGACAGGCTGTCCTGGCCGGCCCTTCCTGAGGCCCGGACAAAGGGGGCCCTGCCTGTCCTCAGGGACCTCGGAGGAGGCGGTAGTGGCAGAGCCAGCTCCAGAAAGTGGGTCTTGATCTCAGTGAATGAAGGCTGCTCAGCGCTAGGCTGGCCCCGCTGCGCTGCGGGAGCATCAGGTCCCAGCCGGGGCAGCGCCCCGCCCCCCCGCGCTCCGCCCCCGCCCCCCGCCCCCCGCCCCCCGCAGCGCAGGCCTGACTGAGCCCTGCCCCAGGGCTTCATCCGGGCCAAGGGCTACCTGTCCCACACCAACGTGGAAGTGGTGAGTGACGGCACGGAGTCCGCCGCGTTCAAGCAGCTCTTCAAGTCCTGGTCCCAGGAGCCACGTGGGAAAAAGGACGACAGGATCCGTGAGTGGGAGGGGCGGGACTGCAGGGTGGGGCCCGTGGGAGGGGTATTCAGGGCAGAGCCTGCTGGGGCGACACCCAGAGACGGAGCGAGAAGGGTGAGGAGGAGTGGCCAGAGGGGGCTTCCTGAAGGATGGGTGGGTTGGGTGGGTCCGGTGGACACAGATGGGGCGGGGTGGGGGGGGGGCGCCTGTGGAGCCGCGACAGGGCAGCAGGCGCCAGTGACACCCTCTGTCCCACCCTCAGGTAAATGGGGTCAGGTAAGGCTGGACATGGGCAAGCTGCACCGCCAACCTGAGCTAGCTGCTCAGTTCAGGATGGTGGACGACGGCTCCGGGAAGGTGGAGGTGAGGGGCACTGGCTTGGCGCAAGGGCAAGGCGGAGGGGGGAAGGGCACACAGGGGTCTTTGTCTTCAGGTGACCCAGCTACTCTCAAGTACACATCTACACACCAGAAGGGACACGCAGGGACCTGCGTATTCATACATATACATACACCCTCCCGACAGCCAGCGCGTACATGTCATGCCTAATCCATCATACACTCACTCACTTAACAGTAACAGTGGGACACTTTCTTGTGTCCGGACACAGCCATACATATGATAACATAGACACACATACTCACACCTTGTAATTGCACTCGATCACAGCCCAGTGCCCAACTGCAAGAATTAATTGCACAAATTCTACATCTCACATGATTGGTCACATACAACCAGGAACCCACAGGGACACACCAACAAAGATACACAGTGACGTAACCAATCACAGCCCCACACACCCAACCCCCAACACACAGTCACGCACCATCAGCCCCTTGTCTGGCCTCAGACCGGTGTCCTGGGAGAGGGCGGGGCTGGGGACCACTTCCAGGTTCTATACACAGAGTGGCCTCTTGACCTGGGAAGAGACTCTAATTCCTTTGGGCCTTGGGGTGTCTTTTTATTTTTCCTGTAAAATGGGGGCAAAAACTGTGGTCCCATCTGGGCCCAAGGCTGGCATGGCGATGCTCTGAGATTCCAGGACTGCTAGGCTTGTGTGTGTGTGGGGTGGGGGGGGCGGTTCTAGTTCTCAAGGTAGGACAAGGTCAGAGAAAATACCACTTCTCCAAGATCTCCTCCTACAGTTGCCCTCCTATGGGTGGACAGAAGTGGTGAGTGAGGAAAGGTGGAGACAGGAAGAGACAGGGCGAGGCAGGGAGGAAAGGGAAGCAGGGAGAGAGGAAGACCGGAACGGGGACAGGGAGAGACAGAAGAGACTGAGAAAGACAGAGAGGGGGGAGCAGGCAGAGCTGGGGGTGGGGGATGAAGAGCAGGGAGAGATGGGGCACACGGGGGAAAAGAGGGACAGCCAGGGAATAGAGAGGGCGACAGGAAAGCAGCAGGCGAGGGGACAGACAAGTAGGGGGAGGCCCCAGCCTGGAGGCCCAGCGGCCAGGCAAATGCTGCTCCTGGATAGCGTGTGCTCAGTCAGCCCCTTCTGCCAGAGGCAGGGTCCTGGATGCCCTCGGCTGGAGGAGGACTTCTCCAAAGACAGCTGTCAGGCCCTGCATGGGCCCAGGTGCCCAGGCTTTGCTTCCTGCCACATCGAGGCGGGCGCTGTTACCCCCACCTTACAGGCCGGAATCACAGAAGCTCAGACAGGTCTCACTGCAACACAGGCCAGCCTGGGATTTGACCAGGTTTGCCTGTTTCCAGAGCCCATGCTCGCTACCCACAGGAACAAGACCTCACGCTGTTAAGTGTGAGGAAGTGTATTCATTTCCGTCTTTGAACAGGCTTTGTATTGTCAAGTGACCCTTAAAAAGGGGAATTTTTCCAAGAGCCCCAAGGCCTTGCTTCTGCCCGGCTTCTGTTGCCCTGGCCTGAGCAGCGAACAGCTCTGCCGGGGCCTGTCTGCCCCTGGCCCGTGCCGGGGCCGGCGGGGTCAGGCTGGGGGTGGCGTGAGGCCAGAGTCAGATTTGCCTTGGCAACCTCTGGAGTCCTCACCACTTGTTTATCTCAGGCACCACATGCCAACGCCGAGTCCTGGCTGAGAGCAGGCTGGCACGGGTGTGGCGGGTCCCAGGGGCCCACGGGGGAGACGGTGCAGATCCTTGCACAAGCCCAGCACAAGCACAGAGTGGGTGCAGAGTTCGGGGTGAGCCACTTGCCTGTACCGGTGGGGCTGAGGAGAGCTTTCAGGCTGGGCACAGGGTGAGTTCAGATGGAGGAGGCACCTGTGCCCATCGGTCCCCTGTTCCCCAGGTGTGGTGCATCCAGGACTTAGGCCGGCAGCCCATGGACCCCAAGCATCATGGACAATTTTGTGCAAGCAACTGCTACCTTGCTCTCTACACATACCAGAAGATGAGTCGCATCCAGTACATCCTGTACCTATGGCAGGTACGCAGGCCTGCGGGGCAGGGGGGATGGCAGGCACCTTCCAGACTCGGAGCTGAAGGTCTGAGAATGGGATCTAAGAGTTGCTTCAGGGCCTCACCAACCCCGTCTGCAGGGCCACCAGGCCACCACACACGAGATAAATGCCTTGAACAGCAATGCCGAGGATTTGGACCTTATGTACCATGGAGCCCTGGTGCAAGAGCGTGTGACCATGGGCAGTGAGCCGCCCCACTTCCTCGCCATCTTCCAGGGCCAGCTGGTGGTCTTCCAGGTAGGGCCCACCTTTGCTTCTGTGGCCACAGCCTCATGGCTCTTCCACATGCTGGTGACCCTTAAATGCATGTGCTGACCGCCCTGCGGGCCTGGGACCCAGCTGACCCCCGCCCCCACTCCGGTTTCCTGGTGCTTGTCCGAGGCCCAGGAGCTCCAAAGGCGACCCCTAAGTTTCTTCCCCCAGCCCTCAGAGCCAGCCACAAAGCAGGAGCCCAGGAGAGGAAGTGCAATTGAAAGGGAGCCAGGGCCCTGCCTGGGGTCTCATGCGGGCAAAGCTGGTCCCCATTTTCCGCCTCCAAGCCTGGGGGGACTACCCCCTGAGCCCGTGGAGACGGGGTGAGAGGTCTGTTTAGAAAAGCCTGGTTCCATCCTACATGATGGGACCCCACACTCCACACCCAGGGGGTCCAGAAATCAGTGGTGGAATCGAGAAAAGGCTCCCTGGGTCTTGAGGCAGTTTGTCCCCCTCTGGGACAGGGAGGCCGCCCCCGGGAGCCCTGCCCCGGCTGATGCCCAGCCCTCTTGTAGGGGAGCGCTGGGCACAGTGGGACGGGGCAGCCAGCATCTGCCACAAGGCTCTTCCACGTGCAAGGCACCGACAACTACAACACCAAGACCGTGGAGGTGCCAGCCTGGGCCTCAGCCCTCAACTCCAGTGACATCTTCTTGCTGGTCACAGCCAGCATCTGCTACCTCTGGTTTGGGAAGGTACTGCCTACGCTGGTCACTCAATCCACGCCCAGGGCAGCGGTGCCAGGCAGCGATGGGGCCACCGCACAGGGAATGCAGCTTCAAGTCCAACCTTAGATAGGCCCGAAGGGGGTGGGGAATGTGCCTGCTCTGGAACCTGGCGGAAGTTGTAGAATGACAGGTGGACCTGGAAGTCCACAGGCCAGAGCTGGGCTAGACCTAGCCCGCCTCCCCTCCTTCCTGCCTCGAGCAGGGAGCTGCCACCTCCCAACTCTCTTGGGAAAAGGAAGAGGCCCAGTTCAGTTTGCCAGAATGTTCTTTGATCTTCAGCATAAATCATAAATGATCCCCAGACCTGGGGGCCCCCATCCCATGTTCTGGACCCAGAGAGGGTCCCAGTCCCTGAGACCCTGATCAGCTGGGAAGATAGACGGGGGCCGGGAGGGGCAGGAAGGCATGCGGTGCCTTCAGCCCAGGCCTCCTGTGACCCAGCTATTTGCCTGCCAGGGCTGCAGCGGTGATCAGCGTGAGATGGCGCGGGCAGTAGTCCCTGTCATCTCCGAGAAGGACAAGGAAACTGTGCTGGAGGGTCAGGAGCCTCTCCACTTCTGGGAGGCGCTGGGGGGCCGGGCTCCCTACCCCAGCAACAGGAGGTGACAGGGTTGGGAGGAGGGTGTTCTCCTTACACAGAGGAGGAGTCTGAGGCCCAAAGAGGGTGGGGTGGTTAAGTAAGGGTCACATATGGAGCTGGAGAGGCCAGACGGGAGCTGAAGACTCTCGGTTCCCCACACCAGGGGCTCCCAAGAGCACAGCCCCCTCCTCCCTTCACTCCCCAGCCCCACGGAACTCGGATCAGGGAGATGCAGGGAGAGCAGGGTGGTGGTGCCCTCTGCTGGCTGAATGTGCTCCCTGCATTGCCCCAGTCCTGGACCATCCCGCAGGAAGAAGCCATTCCCCAACCCCACAGTCCCCAGGGGGGTGGTGCCCTGCGTGTGTGTGTGTGTATTAACAGCATGTGTGGAGTGTGCGAGGACAGTGTATGTGTGTGGTGTATAAATGCACAAGTGTGTGTAGGGCAGAGTGAGTCCTCAAAGGGACCAGGGAGCTGAGCGCCCCTGCTCTGTATTGAGTGTGGGCCTGGTTGATGCGCCGCACTCACCCCAAGTCCCCAGAGCTCCAAAGTACTCCTGTCACCCCCCCCCCAAGCCTCACTCCCTCCTCCCACCTTGAGCCTGACACTGGATCCCAGCTGAGGGGGAGGGGGGATCAGCAACTCCAGTTCAGGCCCGCCCCACGAAGCCAGCTGTCCCTCTCTGGTGCCCACTCCTGGGAAAATTCAGGGGGCAGCTTGTGCCACAGCTGGCTGGAGCTAGACAGATCACCTGACCTGCTTTCCCCACTGACAGACGGGGACACTGAGGCCCCGAGAGGAGCAGGGTGGTTGTTCCCAGAATGAACTGCAGGATGGGTTGGAGCTCACGGGGGCGGGGGGGGGCGGGGCTCAGGCCCTGGGGTGGGAGCTCCTGGCCTGAGGGCCAGCTCGGCCCAGGCCGAACCCCCGACAGCCTTGTGCCCACACTGGCCAGCCTCCCTGAGGATGTCTCCAGCTTCCAGCCACGACTGTTTGAGTGCTCCAGCCAGAATGGCCACCTGGTCCTCACGGAAGTGGTGTTCTTTAGCCAAGAGGACCTGGACAAGTATGATGTCATGTTACTGGACACCTGGCAGGAGGTGAGGCTCCCACCCCTGTCCTGCTGGGCTGTGTCTGTATCCGTGTAACTGGGTGTGAGCGTGTGTGTCTTTCTGAGCTCCTCACCATATGACTGCATGTGAGGCTGCAGGTGAGTCTCTCTGACCGTGTGACACTGAGAGACAGTGCAGCTGTGGGGCCATGAGAGCGAGGCCATGAGCGACTGTCGCAGTGAGCCGTCGGCAGCCTGTGACTCTGCGTCTGGGACTCGTGTGTGATTGTGACTGGCTTTGTGGTTCTATGCAAATCCCTGTGTTTTCAAAGGGTGCGTGGCTCCAAGGGACTGCCTGGCGCTGACATGTGTCCATGTCAAGCGCGCAACTGCGCATTGAACGACTGACAGACAGCATGTGTGTGGGGGGGATGCATTTGCCTTTGTGTGTGGCCATGTGGTCAAGTGACTGCCCCTGCCTGGCCGGGCGGGCCGCAGCCAGGGAGGCTCTGCGCGGGTGACTCTGTTGGCCGTGGGTGTGAGTGACTGAGTGGCTAGATTATGGTTTGTGCGTCGCTATGTACAGTGGCTTTTCAGGCTGCGGGTGTTTTCCAGGCTGGATGTGTGCAACTGTGTAATCAAGTGTGATTGTGTTTATGTGCCACTATGTGTGACTGTGGGTGACAGTGTGCGGCTGTGATTTGCTGTCTGACTGTGGCAATAGACGATTGAGTCTGCATCACTGTCTATGACTGTGAAGATGATGAGGCTTATAGACTCCCATGTGGCTGAGAGCAACGCCGCAGCCCTCACCACGGCCCTGCGTGGCCTGGCGGCCCTGACTCTCCGGCCCGACCGGCTCCCACTCTCCCGTGCCTGCTCGGCTCCGGCCGCAATGGCTGCGTGCGGATCCCGAGATGCCAGCCCCGCTCAGGGCCTGTGCCCTGGCTGTTTCTTCCGGTGTCAACACTTTCTCCCCAGACATCCCATGCCTCGCTCCCTCACCTCCCTCAGACCTTGACCTGGATGTCATCTGCTCCATATGGCTCTCCCTGACCTTAACGTAGAATTTCATTATTCCCACCATCACCGCACTTATCTTCTTCCCCCGCCTCATTTTTCTCCCTCTGCTGTTACATATTTCACTGATTTTTCCATCTCCCCCAACACAATGAAAGCTCTACAAGGGCAAGGATTTTAGTCTATTTTTTTTCCCCACTACTGAATCCCCTGGCCCACACTAGGTACTCAGAAAGTACTTTTGGACTCAATGCACACATTCAGATATGCCTGTGACCTCCTGGAGTGTTTATGGGGGTGCAGATACGGTGGCCAAACTGTGTGTAGCTGGTATGTGCCTGGGAGCTCTGAAACCATCTGCCGGGCAGGGGTGGGAAGGAAGTGGTCAGCTCTGGGCAGCCCCTCCACCCACCCAAGGCCAGGCCCCCTCTGTGGCCTAGATCTTCCTGTGGCTCGGGGAGGCAGTCAGCGAGCAGAAGAAGGAGGCGGTGGCCTGGGGCCAGGAGTACCTGCTGACCCATCCAGCGGGGAGGAGCCAGGCCACGCCCATCGTGCTGATCAGGCAGGGCTACGAGCCTCTCACTTTCACCGGATGGTTCCTCGCCTGGGACCCCTACAAGTGGACTGTGAGTGAGGTCTGAACCTCCAGCCCCACCCTAACCCAGGGGAGAGGGGCTTGCCCTGGGCAGACTGAGAGGAGGCACTGCCCTGCCTGGGGACCTCCAGTGTGGGCTGGGAGACCTGGTCTTGTCCTCAGGCCCCCTCCTGGGTCTCGCTGGGGCCCCTCCATCTCACCCCCCACCCTGATCTTGCCCGCAGAACAACCAGCCCAATAAGGAGGTGGTGCAGGGCAGCCGGGAAGTAATCTCTGCCATCTCTGAGATAACAGCAGTGAGTGCTGGGGCTTCCCAGGCTCCCTCGGGGTCTGGGCTCACTGGGGCACGGTCCAGATGGGCAGAGCGGGCAGGGAAGGAGCCAGGCCCTGGCAGGGGGCGGGGGTTGCAGCTGGGGCAAGAGGGCCAGCGAGCTCAGGGTGGCCTCCCTGTGGAAGCCTATCCCCCATCGTCCTCAGCCTGAGTCCTTTCTATGGACAGGAAGTCAACAACTTCCAGCTGTCTAGTTGGCCAAGCAATGGCAGGACAGGCCCCTTGGCCCTGCAGGCCCTCAAGGGCTCGCAGGACAGGTCAGAAAATGGGCTGGAGCTGAGCCCCAAGGTGGGCGGCGGTGGTGGCGGTGGTGGCGGCGGCGGCGGCGGCAGCAGCAGCAGCAGCAGCAGCAGCAGCACCGGCAGCAGCAACAGCACCGGCAGCAGCAACAGCACCGGCAGCAGCAACTACCACAGCAGCCCCAGATCCATGATCAACTGGGGCCTGTCCCGAGAACAGCTGATGAACCAGGCTGCCCAGGACCTGCCAGAGGGCGTGGACCCAGCCCACAAGGAGGTAGTTGCCCGAGACCCCCTGCCACTTGCTGCCCCGGCACTAATGCACCTAAAGCTGAGCTGGAGGCACCTAGGGTGACACACTGATCATGGGCAATGGGCAGGCTGCCCAGGGAGATGTGAGATCCAGATGGGGTGACGGGCAGAGAGAGGTGGGAGAGCCTTGGGATGATGCCTCTGGCGGGGAGAGCATTCTGGGCTCAGTTGACACCCTTCCCTGGATCCACCTCCCCCACCCCCACCCCCACCCCCACCCCCGCTCCCACAGTTCTATCTCTCCGACTCTGACTTCCAAGACATCTTTGGGAAGTCCAAGGAGGAATTCTACAGCATGGCCAAGTGGAAGCAGCAGCAGGAGAAAAAGCGGCTCGGCTTCTTCTGAACCCAGGCCCTGCTCCCGCCAGTGCCGCTCACATGGCCGAGCCCCCGTGGGTAACTCCCCCACATGCACCTGAGCGCCCAGGAACACTCCCAGGTCACCCCCTCCCCATCAATAAAAGCCTGTGGGCCTCTCAAGGTGTGCTGTGTGGGCTTTCCAGTCAGGACCCCTCAGTGGGTCCAGCTCTGGGGGAGGGGCCTCTGGGGATGCAGGGGTTTGTGCCTTGCTGGTCCCTCCTGCCGGGGGACACGGACAGCGCCCTCCATACAGGGCGAGTGTGGGGGAGGTGGAGAGAGGCGCTGCGGTTCTGGAGCCCCGCGACATGTGTGTGCGCGTACACTTTACAGGAATTTTCTGACGTACAGGTAAAGAGACCACAGGGCTTAGTCTTAGGATTTTTATAAAAACCCTCTACCTAGGGCCGGCCAGAGGGCAGAGAGAGCTGCAGTGTTGTTCCTAACGGACGTGAGCCCAGGCCCAGGGCCCAGAGCAGCTCCTAGGACCCCGGAGAGGCAGCAGCACAGACAATAAGTTAGAGCCGAGGGCAGCATGGGGCGTCCCTCCTGGCACACATGCCCGGCCCCCAGACGTGGGCAGAGGCCTGGCTCGCGCCCCAGCCTAATCCTGGAGGGACACCTTCACAAAGAGGGTGGCAGACGGGTGCTGGTCTCCGTTCTTGGACAAGAGGTGGACGTGGCGGTATCCTGGCAGGTGAGTTGGCGGGAAGGAGCACACAGAGAGTTCCGGTCACTCAGGGAAGGACGTTTCAAGGGACAGCCACCCCAGCGCAAGAGAGGCCAGGCCCTGCCGGCCCCCACCTTGCTATGCCCCCACCTCCGCTGACACTCACCCTGCTTGAGGCTTTTCAGGGGGATGGTGCTCTGGCCAATAAAGTCATTCTTGGAGGAAGCGTCATAGTCCTCCACCAAGAAGCGCACGAGGGCGAGCTCAGGCACAGCCACCTCAAACTCAAACTCCGTGTCCCACCATGGGTTGAAACCTAGGGGCACAGGCGTCATGTCAGCAGCACGGACACCAGCTGCGGGTGCCGGGCCCGGCCCAGAGCCAGCACGCACCGTTGTTGGTGATGACGGCGGTCTGGCGGCTGGCCACGTCCCGGGTCACGCCGTGGATCTCCACCGTCACCTTGGGGTCCACAATCGAATTCTTGCTCTTATTGACTTTTGGCAGCTGCTGCCCCGTGATGACCTGAGGAAAGGTGATGGACAGTTAAGGGTTTGGGAATGGTAACGAGGGGGAGGAGGCCTGTGGGATCCTGCCCCTTCTGTGGCTGGCCATACCCTGACAGTGAGCCGCTTCGGAGTCCACCAGGGCCCCTGAGCCAGGTTACGTGGGTTGAAGGTGGAGTTGGGGTCTCGCAGGAAGGCAGGCTTCAGCACATACCCACAGGCCCCGTTGTCCTGGAAGCGGCCCTGATACACGTCCATCTCTGGTCCAGGTGTCTGGAAGTTCAAGGCCACTACAGGTAGGACAGAGCAGTCACAAGCTGTGGGTTGGCTTCTGGGGCCTACAGCCTAGCCTATACAGGGTACCCAAGGCCTTCGAGTCACACGGCAAGGCAGAAGCAGGGTCCATATCACTCCAACGCCCACTGCCCTCCTCACTGACCCAGAGCACCCACCCTACATTCCACTTCCAGTGCCAGAATTCCACGGACTAGGGCGCTACCTCTGGGATTTCAGATGCTTCCTTGCTGGTAGAGGAGTATTTCCAAATTGAGATCACCAGCTCCTGAGCCCAGAGACTCCTGTACCTGGCCCCGCTTTTGTCCCCACAGGCTCCTGCTCCCTGGCCTCTGGACAGAACCCCCTCCAGGCCTCCTCCCAGCCCTGGCCAGCCCATACCGATCTGGCAGCCCCCATTCCACATCTCTACGGGGCTGTAGTTGGAGGAGTCCGTTCTCCACCCCGCGGGGTAGGTCCTGCTCAGGTGACTCACATTGTGGCGCACAAGGCTGTTCCCTGCGGGGGGGGGGGGGGTGGCGGGGGGGGGGCTGGTCAGAAGTGGAAACCTGCAGGTTGGCCTGCATCCCTCCCACCAGCCCCGCTGGCGGCAGCGGGGAGAGCTGACTCTGCCCAGGGTGTGGGAGCCCCGTGGGCCGGAGAGCAGACAGCAGCCTCTGGGTGCGGGGCCAGCGCCCACTCACCTGAGTCCTGGAGCAGTCGGAGGACACGGTTCTCAGAGAACGACACCATCTCATAGAAGGCCTGCCCCGGGTTGCCGGGGCTGGAGAAGCCATGAAAGTGGACGCTCTTACAGTAAATGACCATATCGGAGAGCTCCTTCACTAGCCTGATCTTGTCCTCCTGGGGGCCGCGGGGAGGCCCAGGTTAGATTCAAAGGTTGGGGCAGGTGGGCACTGAGAGAGCCAGGAACCCAGACAGAGAGAGACAGGGAGAGGGAGACAGAGAGACGGGGGGCAGAGGGTCTGAGTGGCAGCCACAGAGAATGGAGACAAGGCAACATCCCACCAGAGGATGAGGGGTGGTGATGGGGAGGGCTCCAGGGCTGCCCTCCCCCCACGGCTTCCCCTCGAACCTTGGGCTTGTGCTGCACGCGGCTCCTCACTGCCTCATCCTCCATCTCCGCAGCCTCGTCCTCATCTGACACCACAGTGGCCTCAGGGCCACTTTCCCCACAGAAGGGCAGGAGTCCCCCTATCTTCTTCCCCTTCAGCAAGATCTTCCCCTTTAGTTGCTAAGGATGGAGGGGCAGTTGGTCAAGACCAAGCTGGCCTCCCAGCCAGGCCCCTTGCCCTCTTCGCTGGGCACCCTGTCCCACTGTGCACCTCGGGGGAAGGCAGGCTGGTGCTGGCACATTCCAGCGGGCGGTCCAGCAGCATGGAGCCCAGAGTAGCGCGCAGGTGCCGCGCCATCACGCGCTGCTGCTCCAGGCTGCAGTGGTTCTCCAGGGACAGGATGACAGGGTAGGGGGACGCCTGGATGGCCAAGGACAGGTTAGGAGGGGTCGCCATCCCTCACCGCCCCCTCCTCACTCCCCACGGGCGCGGCCACCTTGAAGGCGTAGTCCCGGATGGCCCTGAGCACGTCGCAGAAGAGGACCTTGGAGGTGAACGTGTAGCCGTGGTAGATGATGGGCTCCTGGTTGGGGCCGTCCCAGCAGTCCAGCTCCAGGCAGCGGCAGCCTTTGCACAGAGCCCTGAGGGAGAGAGGCGCTGGGACCCCAGGCCCCGCCCCCGACCCGCCTGACCGGCCCCGAAGCCCCGCCCCCAGCCCCTACCGGATGTAGGCTTCGGTGCTGCTGGGGCCGGTGAGCTGGTCTTCCAGCAGGTAGGTGTTGTGCGAGGAGGACACCAGGTAGTGGCTGAGCGGCTGGCCCATGTCCTGGTAGACCCGCCGGTGCGCCAGGTTGAAGGCGCTGCCGTCGGCCGATAGCAGGTACATGAGGAAGCCGTCCTTGGTCATCTGCCTCTGTGCCTTGGCTGGGAGGGAGGAGGCCGGCGCCAGTCAGAGCCCGCTGCACCAGCCACATCCTAGGACCCTGTCTTCTCTTCTGTCCCCCTCACTGTGAGTCCCCTGAGGCTGGGACCTCACCTCCTGCCCTTCTGTGCCTCCAGACTGAGCCCCCACCTCCAGGTCAGGGCCCGGTCTCCAAGCTGGGCCTGGGATGGGCATCAGGAAGGAAGCAGAGAAAGTGTTTGCCTTTTCAGCCTCCTCTCTCTCTTTCCTGCGGGAGGGGTCCTTAAAAACCCCTGAAGGAGGAACTGAGGGAAGTATCACTGCAGGAGCCCTGTCTCCCTCCTGCCTGCTTTCCTGGGACAGACAAATACCGACCGAGGCCCTGAGGCTGGCTGAGGCACCCCCGTTCCTGCAACTCCTTACTCTCCCCAGGGGACTCGCAGCCCCAGGTGGACCTGGGACTGCAGGGGGCAGGCCCTGGCCAGGCCCTCACCTTTCTCGCTGGGCTCGTAGCGCTCAATGAGGGACAGGGCCAGCTCCGGCCCTGCCGCCTCCTCCCGCTGCTGCTGCTGCAGGAACGTCACTAACTGATCCACCGACAGGGTCTCCCCTGAGCCTGCAGCCTTGGCGAAGGTGTGGTCGATCTCCCTCCGCTGGGTCAGCATCTTGTAGAAGGCCTCAATCTCCTCGTCCTCCAAGGAGTCTGTCTGGGAATGGTCACATTCCTGCAAAGCCAGGACAGCCAGGGGAGCAAGGTCAGAGCGGGCCCTGGCCGAGGGTCAAGGACCTCACTGCCAGGGCTCACGTCTGCCTCACCCTGAAGATCTTCCGGGCATAGCTGTCATCCACCTGGATGTTGAGCTCCTTCAGGAAGTTCTGCAGCTCCTTGAAGCTCATCTTGTTATCCTTGTTTTTGTCAGCTTTTCGCAAGCAGGAGTGAATCCAGCTGGGCAAGAAGTAAGGAAAGAACCCAGGCGCCCAAGTACTCCCAAGGCCTCGGCCAGAGCCACAGTTCAAGCCCAGTGTCAACTTCTGGGCCCAGGCAGACTGAGGCCCCCTGTAGACCCTGCTCCCTGCAGGCCTGACTTACCGGAATTCGAATTTCAGGGGCAAGACCTGGCGCCCCCTCAAGAGGAAATATTACATCCTAGTACAGGGCCTTTTTTCCTATTTGCTGGCTTTGAACACTTTCAGGTTTTAGAAAAACATTTCTTTCTATAAAAGGATTTAGCCCTGGCTGGTGTGGCTCAGTGGATTGAGCACCAGCCTGCAAACCAAGGGGTTGCTGGCTCAATTCCCAGTCAGGGCACATGCCTGGGTTGCAGGCTGGGTCCCCAGTGAGGGGCATGTGAGGGACAACAGCACATTGATGTTTCTCTCCCTCTCTTTCTCCCCTGCTTTCCGTCTCTAAAAATAAATAAGATCTATTTTAAAAAAAGGGTTTATTGTAGACAAGTTAGAAAATAAAGAAATATAAACAACCCCTCCCCCCCATATACCTGGGGATAACTTAAAATTTCAAGGTATGTCCTCTGGTTTTCAATATACAGTTGTTAGCCGACT